TCTATTTGTCCAACTTTAGTTTCAACCGCGTCTATTCTGCCTTCCACAGCCTCAAATTTATTTTCTATTACGCAGGTAATTTCTCTTTTCATTTCGTCCTGACCTGCTTTCATCTCATTTTTAAGAGATTTCATCTCTTCCTTAACGGATTCCTGGCCCAATTTCATTTCTTCCTTAAATGCAGCAAAGGCTGATATCAGCTGTCTTAACTGCTCTTCCATCGCTCTTGTGATTGGCATTCAAATCCCACTTCTGACACCAAAAATTGTTGCGTGCGTACGGGTTCGTTATGAAATGAATGCACAAGTCCGATGAAAAATGAACAAAAATTTATTATTATCACAACAAAAATGCTTAAATTTTCTCAAATTATCATGCAGTATTACAATATCTCACAGTAGTTATCTTTTAACTACTCAAATATCCAATAGAACGTAATTCAAAACAGCTAAAGAACGCTAATCCGCGAATTCGCTACAATCAACAAGAGCAGTTTTCTAAACAACAACAAACTAAGCAACTACTACAAACTGAGATGTTTTCCTCCTTTTATAAGATTTTAAAATCACGCGCTAGAATTTTCCAGTACTTTCTCGAAATCAAAAGAGATATTTATTTATTTAATGCACGCGCTCTTGTATTTTCAATTTTCCGGCTTAGCTTTCTTTTAATATTCGTCAACGCGCTGCACTGCGCGAGAAATAAAACCATTTAATTTATAATTGAACTAACATTAGCTTTATACCAACTTCCTAACAATATTTCGATTCTACGGCTCAAATTATGCCTAAATATTAAATTTTGTAAAATTTAGTGCGAAATTTACGGAGAAATTCAGAAATTTCTATTGGCACTTTTTTTTCAGTTTGCGCCAAAAATAGTTCACTTGGTGAACTTTCCCCTTTTACATCGTGCGTCAGCGAAAAAAAAAAAGTTACTCGTTCTTTCTTTCAAATAATGTCCTTTATATTATATTTTTAATTATATAATTTTTATTATTTTAATTATTTAGTTCTTTAAGCTGCGTGCCCACCAGCGGCCGAGCGGTAAAGTCGCTGAACACTGGTAGTTCGGTCCGAGGTTCGAATCCCGCGAACGGGCTGGCTGGATGGGCGTTTTCGTGGTTTTCCCTATGTGTAACGTGTATACGAGCCAGTTTCCCTTAGAAAGTCCTCCACGAAGGCATCCCTTCCCTTAGGCAGATAGCCCTCGAGGCTTTGCCATAATCACACACACACACACTTTAAGCAGCATGGTTTCTTTCAAATAACTGTTTTTAAAATTTCTATTTTCTAATAGTTTTATTTATAATTTTTTGTCATAGTTATTATTTTAGGTAATTTTTAAATTTTTAGAATTTTATTTGTATTGTTTGTGTTGCATTGTCTCTTCAAATAATTATTTTAAAATTTTCTATTCATACATTCGAACTGCGCATTTTAAATATACGCCTTGATTGACATAAATTTCCCAGAATTCGATCATATTTATTTGAATTGCATTTCATTCGGAAGAATACTTTGTGACCCAGCCTATTGTGGGTTTGAGAACTGCATATATTAAAAGAGTTAATTAGTAAAGCACAGATAACACGCCTTTCAGTGTTCCGTTCAGAAAAGATATATAAATAAGAGAGATGTATATCCGACATTTATATTTAGGGTGAGTTGCATACGTTGTTTTAAATAGTTTTAACATTGTGCCTATTGCTTTACACAATTTTATCATCCTACATTTAATTTCTTAAAATGTTACTCATATTTCAGTCAAATAGTTTACTTTTGAAATCGCAAGAACCAAATATAAAATTCAAAAAAATACTAAATTTTATGCAAAAATTTATTTTTTCTTGTTATTGGCTTACTCTTTTTTTTTTTTTTTTTTTTTTTTTTTTTCAGGCATTCTGCAAGTATATTAAAAGCATCCAACTTTTCGAAACATCTTGGTATTTCTGATATTAATTTTAAATTAAGTTATCACCTTACATTTCAAAAGAGCCCGCGAACGGCGGTGCGCTAAAGTCGCTGAACACTGGTTGTTCGCTCCAGGGTTCGAATCCTGGCGAACGGGCTGGTTTCACGGGCGTTTTCGTGGTTTTTCTCATGTGTAACGTGTGTACGAACTGGTTCCGCTTAGAAAGATTTTCACGAAGGCATTCTTCCTTTTAAGCAAATAGCCCTGCTTTGCCGTAACTTAGTAATCCAATTCCATCCATTTCATCAGTATTTGGTGAAAGCCTTTATCAGTCTTTAGAGGCTAGGCATTTTTAAGGCCTCAGATGAAAGGAAAAACTGGTTTCACCAAGAAGAAAAACGTCTTTAGATGATATCCATGTACGTCATTGGATAAATTACTGAATCTTCAAATAATTCGACTGAGAAATCGTGGGATGCTCCGTCTATGGATACGATATGATGTTGTATGAAGTATTTTAAATTTATACAATCATACAGTCGAAAGTAAGTCGCTCATCACTTTAATCTGCAATGACATCATTTTTGTCTTTTCTGTTAGCACAAACTCCATTGCTGCTATTTGCTGGTGTACACGTCCAAGTGTTTTCTCCTTGAACATCTAACTACCTTGAAGTAGATTCCCCTTTAAATTTTTGTTTTTCCCCCCTAATTTCCTTCTTTCTATCTACATTTGTTTTCAGTGATGACACAGGAAAATTAAGATTTTTCGAATGTTACACTTCGATGAATTTTGCCTTCTTGTCAAATTTTTAAATTTTCAATTGCATCAAATGCATTTCAGCTGAAGACAGCTTTCGATTTTCTAGACATTTTAACTATAAATAAAGTTTAAAGCAAAGTCTAAAGAATAAATATTTGAATTAAAAGATTTTTGTTAAATGAAAAAGAAATAAACCACTCCAGCAACGCTTCTCCTGTACCCACACAGGAACCTATTCTTATATCGGATGCAAACAATCTAAATCATATTACTTAGAGTTTTTAAGCCTAATAATTTCTATATTAAAGAAGGTGTCTTTTTATAATCTACAACACGAGAGAAAATTACTACTTAAAACATTCTTTCTAAGAGAATTAATGTAAAAATTTATATATATATATATATTAAAGCTGGGACATGACCTAAACTGTCAACGTCCTGTTTGCTTAAAAAGAATTGTGAAAATAAACATCAAAACGAACTTTCTCAGTTTTAGACAATTCAATTTAAATGAAGTTAAAGCAAAGTAGCATACGATAACACGGCGAAGGTAAACATTTACTCTTACAAATAATTTAAAAGAAAGGAAGAAAGAGAGAAATTTAAAAAAAAATTCAAATTTGAATAATATCATGTATAATTTTAAAAAATAGTCTTTCATATAGTATTAATAAATATTTATTACGCATCATTGAGAGAAAAAAATTCATATAATTAATTCTCCGTAAAATTTTATTTGAAATTTGAGGCTAAAAATATCTGAGGTAATTCAACGTGCCAAATCCATAAACCACATTTGGCGTTATTATCGCTGAAGGAAAAGATGCCAAATTTCAAAAAGCGAAAATATGTAAATTCTTGTATATCTTAGAAAATTTTGAACAAAAAACTGTAATTTTTTTCAGTTATGTTTAGAAATACACTTACTTTAAGATCATGATAATATTTTTACAGGTTATAATTCAAAATTTTTTTCGAAAAAGTTATAAAAATTATTTTAAAATATAAATTTTAAAAATACAACACAAAAATAGTTGAATTTTATATGGAATGAACCTAAATTTCAGAATGTGAAAGGAAAAGTCAAATAAATTTAATAAAAAAGAGATATTAATAAATATATGACAAATTCAATTAACATTGAGGAGCTAAAATTGTGGGAGCTAATTTTTTAAAAACTATTCGGACGATTTTTACAAAACTTGGCGGTCTGGCATAATTTGAGTCGTAGAATCGAAATATGGAAAGAAATTGGTATGTTATTTAAAAAAAAGGTTCGATTTTGTGTCAAAATACCTATGTTAGAACAGTGCTATACATAAATCTAATATATATCCTTAATCGCGCTTTCGAGACATGAAAAACGCAGTTTGAATTTTGTCAATCGGGCCAGTAGAACGGAGACATAGAACTGTCCCATTTGTTTTCGCAGTGTACATAGGAATTAACCATTATGTACGTAGTAAAATAGCTGGAAATTAAAGAAAAATACATTTAAATAGGATAAAACGTAGTCTCAGGTTAATGTATTTTAGACAACTAGATTAGAAAAAAATGATATAAGAATGAATAGAATCGGTCGGAGAGAGAGGAAAAGACTGCATTAGGGCATCAAGCTAGTAGTCCGTAACAATGACAAAAAATAAAATGAGAGCGTCGACGCCAGACAGGTTATGTTTATATAACGCAGCAAATGTCTTTTTATTCCACAGTTTTATATCGCGAATGCTTTGTAAAGCGTGAAATTTTAGTTAAATATTTTCCTAAATTCATTTCTAGTTTTTAAAACCTTATTTGGTTTTATTGCAGAGAGTCTCACATAAAGTTTATTAACAGCCGAAACGGTTAAAATTTCTGTTTTTAATTTTAGAAGCTTAAAGTAAATATTGAACGCTACTAAACTTTAAAATGTTATTCACAGTTGTCTCCTATACCTCTGGAGATTATATTTTGAACTGTTTGCATTATTCTTATTGACTAAGTACTGCAAAACAATGAAACTTAGATATTGGACATTATTTTAGAAAAATATACATAATTTCAAGGAAAAGTACGTGTGCAGGTTCTTTTAGGGGGGAAAATGTTTAATATATCTATCTTCCAATTGTTAATGCTTAAAAGTCTTCCGTATTATTCCACATGGTTATTTTTTAAAACTTTGATACTAAAATATCAAGATGTATCACAATAATTTGCTGATAGGGAAATCTTCTCTGTTTTACGTAGTATCTATCAGCTTTACATTCATGAACATATAAAATTAAAATAAAATTGCATAGGAAAATTTCGAATAAAAAAATTAACACGTGCTTATATTGCGAAAATAAATTTTAATGAAGTTTAAGATGTTAGACATTCCTTCTTCCTGATATCAAACAATAGCAGCTTCAGGGACATCATTATAAGCAGAAATCAGCTCTTGTTCTGGGTACTGAGTTCTCCCTTCATACAAGCTTTCGCTATTGTGATATATGTTGCCTGCATTCATGGAATTTTGCCAATCAGAAAATTTCTTTCCGTTGGTGTAACGTACAAAGATAGGATGTTTCCGAAGTTGCAGTGGACTCTGAAAGGTCTTTGTATTCCCCCTTTTAATAATTTTGCTTTTACCGCCAAAGATAATTTTATTTTGCGACATTTTATCTTCGATCCAATGATTATCTGCATACTTTATATCTTTCAATAATGACATTGGTGCTTGCTTTCTGATTCGCTCGTTCTGTTCAGTTTCATAGAATGAAGGTCGATCATATCTTTCAGTTTGTTCAAAAGTTTCAAATTGACTGCCATCCGTCATTTTAAACTCTCTCTTCAATTTTCGAGTTTTAGCCAACTCTCCCATCAGTGTGGTAAAATAAACTTCTTTCCGATTTTTCATATACGGGATATCATTTGCAACTGTTGTTTTCTGCATGTTATTTTCAAACTGAAATTCTTTATTCAAAAAGATGCTGGACGTTTTATTTTTTGTAGAATAAATTTCGGTGGGGTGATAAAGAACATTCTTAATGCTCTGGGATAATTCACCAGACTCATTTGTTGAAAGCTGCATGTGTTCTGAAGAATTTTGCTTTCTAATAATTAAGGAGATTGGTAAGCTTCGAAGAGTTATATTTGGTGCAATTGTTTGGAAAAATTCATGAGTTTTATTTCTAGATGTTGACAATCGCTCTTCGGAATCGATTTTCTTTTTAACATTAGAGAAGAACATGGTGACATTACGCAAATTATTTGAAGGTGTTAACTGAAATTTTGGCATAAATGAAATGCTGCTCAAAGTGTGCACAGAATAATTTTGAAATGGATGAAATTTTGAAAAATGATTGTTTTCTTTCAAAGTTTCAATTTCTCTATCTTTGTAAATGCAAAGCAAAGTGCAATTTGATCCAGACGCAGTAATATTTTCATTCAAAAAACTGGTTGAATTATGAAGAAACAATCCTCGAACATTTTTCTTTTCAGCATCATCGATATGTATTATATTACTTGTAAGATTTCTAACATGAGATGTGATTGCAAAATCATCTATCTTTGTGCTGTTCCCGTACATTGCTGTCCGGTCTTTATCGGCATTTCCTTCTGATAAATTTTCTGTAGCGTTTCTCATTACGTCACTAGAAGAGACTGCGGTACTTAAAAGTACATGCAGATTTTGCGAAATTGCTAAGTCAAATCTTGGTGCAAAGGAATTGTTGTCCGATTTTGTAGCATTCTGGAGTAGCTGATAACTAGAAAATTTATGATTATGTTGCATATCATTTACATTTTCCTTATTATGCTTGATAAATAGAAAATATTTAGGTTCCGAACTAATAATACTTTCAGTTGTAGATATCTGTTTGAAACTATCGACTGGAATCATTCGTATGTTTGTGCTTTGGACATTATACGTATCCTTTACCTTCTTCGAAGTTTCACTACTATATGGAGTGATTGTACCATGATTTATTTTTTCTTTAAAGTTACTCGTATCTGCAGAAAGTGTTGTACTTGAAAGAACATGTAGTTTATTTAAAGATGTCGATATATTAGGTGGGTTACTTGCTGTGCGTTCAGTAGAATTTTGAAATAGATGATACTTTGAAAAATTAAAGCCTTCATTCACATTATTTAAATTTTCCCCATTAGACGCAAGAAGATGAACTCCTTTAGGTTCCAGCAAAATAATGCTTCCAACAGTGGAAATATGCGTTGGATTTTCTTGCAAAATCATTTGCCCTTTTTTCTGGTCAAGCTTATTAAAATATACATTACTTGATGCATCTCGAGAATGTAATGTGGATGTTCTATCAGTTGCTTTTGACCTGTTGCTTACTTTGTCTAGAATTTGTCCCGCACTGCTTCTGTTTATAGCATTTGAAGAAAGCGATATGCTTTGAACAACAGGCGATTTAGTTAACGTTGTTACCGTATATTCAGGAGCATGTGAAGTTCCGTTTGATACATGACCAACAATATTTTTGTGCAGCTGGTATTTTTCAGAAACATTCATAGAATCCTGTTTTCTTTCATTATAAATCCAATTATGAACAGCAACAAATCTCACATTTTTCCTGTTTGTCTCATTAACACCTTTCACATTCTTTGCACTATCTGTAGCATATGGCGTTGTTATATCGAATTTTATTTTTGCGCTGTTGTTATGCAGACTTAGTAAATCCACAACAGAGTTTTTTTCTAATACTTTTATGCTTTGAATCTGTTCCAAATTATCTGTTAGGTTTCCCAACGCAGTGTTTATTTCACGATTTCCTAGCAAATTATTAAATGCCGAGTCATTTCTGAGATCATTAAGGAATACAATTTTAACTTCTTGAGGAGCGTTGAAAAGATTCGTTTTCTCCATTAAATTACTTTTTTTCTTTTTTATAGGCAGAGTGTAATTCCAGGTCTTAGCAATCATCAATTTATGTGCTTTTATTTCAACAGGAGAAACTAGTCTATGGAATTGTCCTGTTATATTCATTTCTGTTTTGGGATAATAAATATCTGAAAATGGAAAAATAGTAATTATTAAGTTTGTATACTGAAATTCCTATTATTTGGAAAACACATTCAATAACGCCATAAAGATAACAATTCTTACTTTGGCTATGGGATTCATCTCTCTTTCGATGCATTCTTGGTCTGGGGCGGCGAAGGACATGTTGCATTTTACCTTTTCGTAAACCTTTACTTTCAATATTAGTATTTTCCTCTAAAATGCCTTCTGATTCTGTAACAGTACTTTTAGTGCTTTTAAAAAAGTTGACGATGCTCTCGATTATCCCACTGTTTTTCGCTGAAAGAAACAGTAAACAATATTTTAAAATTTCATCTTAAGAAATCATTTGAATTGATGAAATAGTTCTAATCATGGCTGAAATTTTCAATAGAAATATCTATTTTGAATTCTGTATCATTACATCACTAAGATTTATTCTGAAGATTCATTCTGAAAAAACAATTAACTATTTAATTATTTTTGATAAATTTATGGAGTACTGATGTAGGTAAAATTGTATTAAAAAAGGCTGTCGGAATTTCCCAGATTAAAGGCAGGAGCAATTTTAGTTAATAAAATGTATCTGTAATCCACATTACAACACAGTTACAACTAGCAAGACGCATACTCAAAAAACACTAAAATTTTTTAAATTGAACAAATTTAATAATAAAATGCTACAACAGCAGTAGTCTGTTTCAGGCATTTTATTTTCAAAGCTGTTGCACTTGTTAAATGCAAATAAATGACGTATCACAAGACAAAACGTTGGGAAATGTACTGTACACGAAAACATTAACACGGCAACCGAAGTAGTATTCTCTCTTTCTTATATGTTTTGAAAAAGCATCGTGTCACTTGCATTCGCAACACCAAAATACTTTGATTTTTATAGTGTATAATTCTAGGATGCAAATTAATATGCGTAACTTCCCAAAATAAAACTTAATCACATTCATTTAATTCATATATTTAATCAGTGAACCCAGAAGTATGGAACCTAACTGTATTTTCCCCTATTCTTAGTGGTCTCAGACAGGAGTAGTTTTACTAGCTAAAAAAAGGTGCATATTTAAGAAGTAAGTATTTAGCACATTCCCGGTTAAGAGACAATTGATTTTTAAGCTTCTTGCTAGAAGAATTGAGTATTGTGCATAGTATTGTACGAACTAATGTTGTGATACACTATAACTCGTTATCATCTTGATTTCGTTACCTGATGTCATGCCTCTCCCCAATCGTCCTTTAATGAGGATGAACTTAAGAATTGTTGATCTCTCATACGTGGTTTTGAGGTGAGGTGTAAATGAATAGATATCGTTTTGGTTCAAACCTCAAAGCGTTTGGCTCAAAAATAGAATAGTTTTGGTTCAAACCCGGTGGAAGTTTATACTGCATTTTATATTTGGTACAATTTATACGACATTTTAAAACATCTTCTATGCCTTAATAATTTCTGCACATTTCAGCAACCGCTTATGGATAGAAAAAAAACATTAATAAAAATATCGCTTTTTGGAATCGCATAGTTACATTTATCGTAATTAGAGATTAACAAAATCATGATTTTGATTCGAGATTGTTAATACGGTTATTACCGTGTGAAGTACACTAAATAATGCTTAATGGCAGAGCATTATAAGCGTAAAGTCAATGGTAACATTTCATATTCACATCAATAATTCACATTTATATATGATTCTCTATGACAAATAGGATATAAATAATCTGCAAAAGCTTTGAAGACCTCATAATGATTACTGATGGAATTATAAAATCAAAGGTTCGACTAGAATTTAATCAGGCAAACTACCTTGTTGAAAAATATCTTCGTGTTGCTAGAGAATCTGGCCTCTTAGTTGAACCATGCTACCATCCAGATTTTAGTAACGTTGAAATAAATCTTCATTTTGTCTTAAAAGGTAGCAAGGAAGAAGTGTGAGATTCCATAACAATTCATTTGCATTGAAAACCATATGCCTGACATGATATGAGTGCACTAATATATACATCTACATACATACATATACATATATATATATATATATCATTAAATACCACAGACATAAGGAAAAGGCTGTAAAGGACCCTTTTATTAATTCAAATGACGTTTAATTGATGGCACGAACCCGTGGTTATTTTTATTACTTTTAGTTCATCCATTATCTTTAATTTAAGCCAACATATATGGCTTAAATTAAAGAAAATGGATGAACTAAGAGTAATAAAAATAAATTAGCCTAAAGCTTCACAAGTGAAATAGCGCTCAAACTGGTCGGCGTAAACAAGCTGCTCGGTGTAACCTAAGGTCAGCGTAAACAAGCTTAATAAATAGCAAGAATAACTCAACGCCTCAGAATACTAATCGCAAGAAAATTAAATTCAGCAGTGTGGTTTAACAACTTCAAGCAGGCAGACCACGCTCTAATTCTACCCTCTAAAACCTTCCCTTAAATAAGAAAGGTTTCAGAAGCTCTCTTCTTTCTTTTGAATATCGCATGAGCTAGAAATTTACATTCTAGCAGGAAAATGAAAATTAATGCGGTAGGCTAGGAAACTAACATGAAATAACTGGTTAAGGGATTTAAATGTTACATCATTTTCATACACTGCATGATTCCTTCGCGAACTTTCATACACTATGGTTCCTTCAGCGATGTCTCACCGGGAAACCACAAACATTAACAAGAATTCTTACTTAGAATTAACAAAAGAGAACTTGGAAAAAGGGTATATTTAACTCCAAAATCAAATCATCATTCTTTTCGTTTCAGTGTGAGTATAGGTTTATTTGAGAAACTCGATATATTACTCATCACTAATTTTTATCAATAGTACGCTCGATTAAAATTCAAAACACTAGGAAGTCACGTGAAAAAGTGAAACTTTCTGTTAAAATGCATTAGCAATTAAAACAGGAAACTTGTAAGGTATATTTTAATTTTATAACAGTTATTTTAATTTTAAAGTGCTTTCCTATCAGTTCTTGTTTCCACTTACAACTCCCTACTAGAAGGAGGTTTTTAGAATCCGTTGAATGCAAATGAATGAGAAGGAGTATTTAAGGAAGTTTCAACTTACTTCGTGAGAAAGAGACAGGAATCCTGAGTAGAGTGTGTTCGCCTTTGGGCTAAAACTCTTTTGAAGTTCTTACGCTCGGCTGTATACTACGTGCCTTTTCATATTCGCCGGCTAGTTTAAATTAAGGGCCAACAACGTTAGATAATTGTATTAGCTTCGGCTAAGTCCCTTAGTTAGTTCTAATTTAGTTCTTATTTCGTATTCTGAGTTTAAGCCCAATTGGAGGTTTTGTTGTAAACCCGAGAAATGGGCCAATTTTTCATTTTATTTTAAGTAAAATAAAGAGTAGTTAACCCTTCTTGATTTACACTTAGCGCTAATTGCTTAACAGTTCACTAGGTTCCTCGACATTTACTTTAGCCAAAAAACGTGAGGAAACGTACAACCTGTTAAAAGTAATCTGTTAAATATAAAGAATTTTCTTTACTGAGCCTTGAGAGGTATAGTTTATGCGGAAAACAAATTTCATGAAAGTATGAACATGGAGATGCTTTTTGCATCACAGCTGCTTTTATAGTGTGGAAGATTTAAGATCTCCTTACTACTTACTATAATGACATATGGGATGCCATATCTGAGATTACTGAAGATATGATTAATCCAACAAGCATTAGCAATGGTAAATTTTTTCTCCTTGCGGCAAAAAAAAAAAAAAAAAAAAAAAAATGAAGCAGATATTGCAAACATTATTCTTGTACTTAGTAATCAAAAGTTGCCCCATCAGGACCTTGACTTCTTTCTCCTTTCTGAGATTGAAAATTATCGTATTTATTAGACCAACTCGTCATTAAATAATTCTTACGGTTTGGGCTAATTTTACAGGATCAGCTGAATGTTTGGCGTGAAATTTATTTGTGCCTTAAAATTCAGCGCTTTTGAACAAATATCTTTCAAGTTTATTTCTTTCGCATCTTTTAATTATGTAGAATTCACAGTCGAATTCCACTTATCTGGACCAAAGATATCTTGAAATTAAAGTACCTGAATTGTTTTTTCCCTTTACGTATCAAGTAAACTTGAGCTTATTTACTTATTTTCAGCTTTTAATGATTCAACTATTACAGTGCAAATATGTGGAAAATACATATTTCAGACAGCTAATACAGATACATTCATGTACATTGTATAATTCCAGGTTTAGACCTACTGGCTGCTTGGAAACATTAATATGAAAACAACTGCATACTGCAATTGAGGCTAAATGACTTTGTTTTGATTGTAAATCGTTAGTTAAATATAACAAAAGCTTCTTCTTGTTTGTTTCTTGGATATGTAAATTTTAATATAGAAACCTGACGCCGCACCTCTCCGGCTATACGAATAATCTGCAATCTATACAATACTGCAATAAATCTTACGAATAGCAAATAAGCTTCAATCACAGTTTCTCCGGATATTTTATGTTCTATGAAATTCACTTTAAACCAGTATTTTGAAACGAATAATTTTTCATTACTTTGTGGAAAATCCATCATCTTCCTCACCAGAAATATTACATAGAGTGACAAAGAAATAATCATTAATTAGATGAAAAATACATTTTTTCTGGTTGAATAGAAAATGACTAAAACAATTTATGTGACATAGAGTAGAGCCCAATCTATCATTTTTCATTGAGTTGGAAGCAAAATGGGATGAACGCGAGGAAACAATTAAACCGAAACATTGCTATAAATTGTAAATAAGATATTATATATAAATAATCTAATTACTTTAACATGAATAGATTGCATTGCAAAGCTATATTTTCACAAAAGAATTTAAACTTCGTCTTTCGTTTCTTGTATAAACTTTCTCTCAATTGAAAGTGTGATGTTTCGAGACTTTAAATGCTTGTAATGTCCGAGTTTCTTCTATCCTGTGCGCAGAAAAGAGTTTTACTTTTTAAAAGCTTGATAGCCTCTATGGAGCTTCACACCATCTCTTGATCATTTTACCATACTTAAAATTTCTTTTATAATACTTTAAATTCCAAATTGAAAGCTAATTCCGAAACCTTTGAAATCTAATTGTAATAAACTAATGAAAGGACCAAAAATGTACTTTCGATAGGTTTTTCGTAAGTTATTTTCAGCGCAAAATGTATCTGCGCCATTACTAGCATCTTAGCAAGATAACGGTTAGGGTAACCAGGTATACAGAATTTTGAGTAAATTTCTAATACATTAAAATCGAAGAAAGAAAAAAAAATTAATCCGCCCCTTGCCTCATGAAATTAAAATAAAGTCTTAGTGGCGAAGAACAATTTCGTCCTCTTGAAAAGGGAAGTTCTGCAACCAGCCAGCGAGTAAGCGCTCTAATCAGGTGTTAGTTGTCTCATAATCCGGACGTACGAGAGAGCTGTTGATACTCACCCATTCACAGTAATAGAAGTATTTATACAGTGAGCAGTTACAAAACAGGTTGAAATTATATGAATTTTTGAAGACTCAATTCTGTATAAAAGATCAGGTAAAGGAGGAAACCATCTCCGATCAGGTAGATTGTGTAAGGTCTGAGGTTATAGTCCGTATCAGTGATTTCATACTTAAAATTAGTATTTGCGTGATGTACAAACTTGTTAACTATTTCTCATTGAAGAAGCTTTTGTTCAGCTTGTGAGTATATTCTTTGCTGTAGTCGAGCTACAGATCTTTATGAATTATCCCATTCTTTACAACTAACGAGATCCTGTAATTTTTCTTAGGTCCTTACTGTAGTCGACGTACAGATCTTTGTGAATTATCTCGTTCTTAAAGAACTAACGGGCTTTTGTGATTTTTATTAGGAAAGCTTGTTCTGGAAAAGTCTGGAGTTAGATAAAGTCTGTTTTGCTGCACGCAATCCAGGCAGCCAGGTGAAGCGTAGGTAAGAATGAGCCGGTTTCAACACAGAATGATTTTCATTTGATCATTTGATTTTCATTTGATTTTGGAGATTTTGAAGTAAGTAGACTCTCAGGTAGTTTTCTTTAGCCAAACGAAGAATTTTCTCATTAAAAAGTCATCGTGATTGATTTTCATTTATTATTAAAAAGTGACTTTGTAATTTATGACTCTGCTCTTGTGTCAATGGATAAATAAAATTGGATTTTTGCCCGTTGATGCTTGTTTTGCATTTCATACGCCAGTCTTCTATCTAGTACATTCTATCTGGATTCAAGGATTTGAAGAGAATAGCTGTATCATCATCGTAGAAAATGAATGTTTTTAAACTTGTAATGAAATAACATTAGAAAATAATGATTATAAGGCGGATGCGGAACTGAGGCACACGTGCAACGAGGTACTGATTACTGTATCGTTAGATTATAGTCCAGAGAAAAGATACAAATGGTAAATTAGTAATTTGCTTCAATACTTTTCTAAATCGTCTATGAGCAAAATGCTGAGCTTGGAACGTTATTTACGAAAAATAATGCGGGAAAGCAATAACTCGAGGAATGGTGACTGCAAGAACAAATAACTTTATTTAATAGAATTTTATTCAGGTTCAAATGAAGTGAAATTTAAATGTGAAAAAAAATTTTGCGAAAATGATAGATCGAGCTTCTACTTTATAGACGTCAGAGAGTTTATAGAATGAAATATTTGGATTTCTCCTGTGAGGTCTATAAATTTACTTCGATATCGACAATATAGTTGTAGTATATCTTCAGTGAGCTTCACTTTCCTCTGCGACAGCTAAGATCAATAAATAATTCATGATAAACTGTCACAGAAATTCTATGTGCCTAAGGTCATTGGGCTGAATACATTAACTCGTAAATTGACTTGTATTTTGAGCTTAATAGAAAACGTACACTTAAAATCTAATTTGAAATGTTTTCCTATAAAACACATATTACTAAAAACTGAATAAACCTTTATTAGATGCACGAAAGCATTATACGAGATGTGCAATTCTGGAGGAGAATTGCTATCAGAGTATGGAATATATGTAACTGACCTAAACATAAATTTAGAGTGTTAGACTTTACTTTCAAAACTGTGATGTAGTGAATTATAAATGTCTGTATTGTTTCTAGTAAAACCTTCTAGGTATATAATCTCTATTCAATGAATAATTTAATTCCTTTTTCGTCCTAATTTTGAGCTTCAACGACATCTCATACGGAAAAATAAAATGAAAACTTTCAAACATCAGAGAGTTTTCATAATTATTCAAATTTTAGAAAGTACGACGTCGCAAGTACTTTTTTTTAAATTATCGAAAACTGAAAGAATTCAGTTTTACTCCAGTTTAATAACTGCATTCTCTGAAAGAGTGAAATATGACCTGTAATATAATAATCTAGCGACAACCATGACATTTATCAGAGTCAAAATTTAGTTAAAGTTAAATATTTTGAGCATTCATCAATATCGCAATTTATCACAATGACAACGTTACTGTAAAATATTAAGCTTTTCAAAAGAAAAAGCAACGAAAGGAAATATCAAGAAAATATGTAATTTTGTATGCATGTATATTTGCGTAACTATGCATTTATTAAAATTCATATGAAAAATCCGAAAGCTTTCAGGTTTTACATCACGCGCAAAGGCACATTTTTTAACTTTTTTGTATTAGCTTTATTTATTAAATATCATGCTCTTTGCACTTAAAACCACCTAAACATCAATTCAACAGAAGTATCACAAAATATTTAAAAACAGCATATCTATAAGTTTCCGACAGACAGTATCGCGTGCTGGAAATAAAAAGATGTTTCGTATGAAAAAACGATAAATTCAAACCTTATGAAAATGCAAAGAAATTTGTCGCTCATTTGCTTTCGAAGACGTGAAATTTCTAAACTAAAATCTAAATTTTATCATGAAAAAGATTAAAAAATAAATATCTTAAAAATTACAATTAAGATCAAAAGAGTTTAAATGGCAGTCAGAATCTAATATGATTTTCTATTTACTTCAAACTTACAAATTAACTGCACAATAAAGTTTAATTTAATTTTGTAATAGATATTTATGTTTTAGAACAAGCCTTCCTTTTGCCTTCTCCATTCGTATCTACGTCTCCCTGCAAGAAATTTTCAGGAGTTTGTTTTATGCAAATGAGGTGTTGGAGCTGCTAGTCTAATCTTAGTGTTATTCAGCCGTCCGTGCCCGCTAATATACGGCGGTGATCTTAAGTAAGGACCAGCTATGTTAGTTAATTCTGTACAGCTTCGAGTGGCTTATTAGTTAGTTTTAAATTAGTTTCTTTTTTTCCTACCTTGAGTTAAGGCCCAAGGAGGCTTATTGCTAGTCCGAGAAGGGGCAATCTGTTAACTTATTTTGAGTTGGAACAAAAGAGGAAATTGAACACTTCTTTGAACTTCTTATTTACAAAAACTCAGGAAATAGTCTATGCACAGTTCTTCAATATTCTAGCCCTCAAGGACTTCTAATTTATCTAGGATATTACAACATCTTTATGATAAAGTCTATGTAATACGTAAGAAGAAATTTTGTAAAAATAATGATTGGTAAAGCCTGATATTATATTCCATCATTGTAAGAATGGAAGAATTAGGAAATCTATTGTTAAACAAGATTATGCTTCTTCCAGCAGAGTACGACTCAAGGTATTCAAGGTACGACTGTCGTACCTTGATCGTTAAAAGCCTTGCATACGCCTCTCTTTATATTAACATCCGTCAATTCAACTCACATGATGTAAACGAAAAATATGCTCTTGAAAAGCTTTCATTTTTTCAAAGCTATTCTTAAAACTCACATGCATTTTATGTCGTTTTAAGTATCTGCATCCTACCACTGGCTGTTAAGTTTTAATAAAACGAATTTAACATACGCTGTTTACTATACCAGTTCGTTTCTAGATATATTTATAGAATCTGGTTAATGTCAATACTCAGTGTAAAAACAATTGGAATCCCCAAATGATTGCCCATATTTAAATAACGTTTCCTTAAATAAAACTACAATATGATTTTCTGGTAATATTAAAACTAAATTATGTGCGCATAAGAAGAATCTGCAAGAACCAGGAATGACTTCCGTTACTGAATTTATTAATTATTTTGAATTCAGGCATGATATTCCTTTAAACATTGTAGAGACATTAGGATTTTTTTTTGGGGGGGGGAAGCTGGAGAGATGAAAAATGAGCAATCGCCTTCGCCGGGAATCAAACCGCGGACTTCTGGAATACCGGCCCAGCGTGTAGAACCACTACACCACGACGGCACGCTAGGGAAGTGGGAGAAATACCTTATATACTCCCCTTTTTAAAGGACGAATGTTGTTTTCAGGGGACCCAGGCGCCAAATCCTGGGTGTGGAGAAACCTCATCCAACACCCTTTTAGTTCGGTTGCCACTGTACAGACATTAGGTTAATTAGAAGCATAAGAGATGCAAAATTAGCAACGCCTTCGCAGGGAATCGAACCACGGACCTCTGAAATACCGGCTCAGTGTGCTGACCACTACACCACGAAGGCACGCTAGGAAAATGGAAGAAATACCTTATAACATATTTATGAAAAAAATTATTTTGCGAAGCGTGAGATACTGTTCATTCTGAATGTAAAAGATCGATTATAATACGAAAAAACATTGAAAGCTTTCAAATTTTAAAGTTCATCCGGAATAGTTTGTTAAGACTTTTACTACGCTCTTCCTGAGGCTCGCAGTCTACCGAGTCTGCTGTTGTACTCACTTCTGCTAACACCCCATTTTCTTCTTTTGTTTCTTAATACTATTTAGCATCGTTTTCTTCGCACTTTACGCCATATGCAATTCAAAAGCATAATCTCAAAAGCCTTAAAAACAGCACAGTAGCATATGTTATTACCGATGCAATGTTAATGCTGACGTACGGCTTTCTATTTTTCTAAATCTTTTCTCAGTTGATCACATCGATGTTCAGTTTTCTTAGTAAGACGGATTACAAAACTTGTTTCTTCGTTTTATTATTAACATTCTGTGTGTTAACTTTATTTGTAAAATTCAATTCAACCGCAAAATTATAAAGTATTTAAAAACAGCATGTCTTTGATAGATAGTCGCGCACTGCAGATAAAAAGGTTTTATTCCATACAGCATTGCCACTTGTCAATTTCAATCGTTGAGTTTGTTAATCAAAAATTCATTAATTTTTGATAAAATATGAAATAAATAATAAAGCATACATAACATCATTCTATGAAAATACTGGATATTTTTAATTAGATAGGTCATGAATTAAACGCATTTTTATTATTTAAATCCATCCAATTCAAACGTAAGGAACAATTATTCTTAATATCTGCATCTGCTCCTTTCAAACAGCTTAGTTTCTTAATCCACAACAGAGAGATTCAATTTGAAAGATAAATATCTTATATGCCGAATAGCAACAAATCGAATGAAGAGTGAAACGACGCATTGTTAGTGATTCGTCACAAAATCCCATTTAGAAACTAATTGTCCCTTTTAGGCTAATAAATTTATATGCATTTCAGCCGCCCAACCATTATAGTGATTAGCGTCGCTGACTGCTGTACCGAAGGGTCCGGGTTCAACTCCTGCAGAAGGTATGGATGATTGCAAATTTATAATGTCGGTGCAGCATGGCATCACTCTAAATATGCGGCGATCCGAAAGTCCTCTCTGTGCTTTGGTAGAAGCGGAGAGGGGTGGGAGCCCCATTTCAAAAAAGAGTCTGGAATTTTCCTATTTTAAATTAAAAGATTTCGAAAAATTGAATAGCTTCCTTATAAGTAAATAAAATTAAAATGTTGCATACTTCTGATTTCCTCTAAAGGATCTATAACTGTCGCACTATCTTGAAATACGAGGTCCATATAATCAGTTCCGGTTTCTTGAATTATTTGTTTTTCTACGTATGATGGGGACATTGTAGCCATTTGAAGTGCTTTTTCTGCAGCTGTTAGACCATGTGCTCCTGAGTGGAAATTTTAAATGTAAGACAAAAAAAATTTAAAAAGTATGCATGATGCAAACAAACATTTTAACGTGCATACGATATCAATAATAACCATTTAATATTGCACATACAAAACGTATCGCAGATTCAAAGTGTTAACTCAAAAATTTAAATCATCCTTTTTTAATCTAGAAATTACCTTTTCATTAGAAAAAAAGGATAATCAAATTGCTTTTAAAAAAGCACACAGAAATTTTCAACAGTAATATTCATTTTTAATTATAGTTAAAATTTTATTTTCACTTTAAAAGTCTCATTTTATTGGAAATATGGTGAAGAAACTATTTGGATTCAGAACAAATAGTTTACGAAAACATCATCCACATTATCTTTGAAATCTCCTTTAAAAACATTTATTTTACTTAGAACTACAGTAATAAAAGACTGTAATATATTCATATATCAATTAATTAGCAACATTTTCTTATACAAGCTCGGAAGCTTTATCAGGTTCAATGTTCCGTCTTACTTTCTTTGGGAACATGCAAGGACCTGACTCGGAACAGGGAGCTTACTAAAGCTATGTTCAATAACTGTGGGAAGAAGACAGGATACACAAGAAGGGTATACAAAACCCTTTATTTTTCTCTATTTACAATAACTTCCGTACTTCGGAATACAAAGACCCACTACTTGTGGTCTAAACGTAAAAAATAAAAATAAAACTAAACTCTAATTTGACTTTGAAATATAAACGTGGAAGATTGGCCTTATATTAAACAGGAAGTCGTATGTAGTACAGAGAAACTGTTAACACTACAATACGTTTAAAATTATCAAGAGGATTAAACCTCTGGCCTGGAAGGGCAACCAGCAACTGAGTAAAACTTCTAAGGTAAGCGGCCTGCTTCGACTAACTGCTTCCTCTCTTTCGCTTGGCAAAAAGCCACAACTTAAATACTTGGCGCTCGCCAGACAAACTTTGCATAAATACGTTAACGCTTATAATTCTGGCCGGAAGTAGAAAATAAGAAGTGATAGTAAAGATTTAAAATAAAATAAACGTTAGTAAAACTTAAGATCCTTACAGCTTAACTTCGAATATTTCTGAACAAAATTTTAGGAAAGAATTGTTAACTTAAAGAGTATTCTAATCAGCACATTTTCTGTTTTTCGGTGACAAATGGCCCTAAAAAGGCAATTCTTTCTTCTTAAATATACAAATATTCGAAGAGAAATTTATTTGTTAAATTTGTTTTAATTTTTTTTTTTACTTTATCTGGAGAATTAATTTCATTAAGAGCTTTCTTAGTAAATAGTTGTATTCAATAAACCCGTTAAGATACGTGGGAACAAATTTTATCTAACACTAAAAAATTCTACAGTTAGTGACATTAACGGATCTAAATTATTTAATCAAGCTTAAATATATAAGTAATCTTTATACGCTATGATCTATAATGAAATTTTACTTTATTTTACAGAGTTCTTAATGCAACTACTATCTATTACAAACATGTATTTACTATCTTAATTACGTAGTACAAAACTTAAATCAAAGGAAGAATTTCGGGATTCTATCGAAAAAATCATTTTCTCTAATATTTGTTCGTATTAACCGGTTTCTCTTTAGTAAACTAAACAGGTTAGGATGCGCAAATTAAACATTTCTGTTATTCGGGTATGAATGTGAGAAATTCAAGTATCGGTATAGCTGATAATCAATAAACGCAACTCATGGAATAATTATACAAGGCGCTTGAATCAATCTAGTGTGGGACGATATGTTAAATATATGGCAAAAAAATTCATCTGAAATCTCATGTGGATAAACGTCTCGCAACACAAACAAATAATTTTTTACTTCACTTAAAAATTCAAGCATTTACAAACGCAGAGTTTTATTTACTCATTTTCGTGCCTTCAACATTCGTTTTAGATCATTTTCTGAGTCACCAAGAACGATAAATTTTCATATCAAAAGATTTAACTTTCATTTTCCTCCATCATTCATGAAATGAGAAATAAAGGATTTCTCATAGATCGCATTAACATTAAAATGCAATCACTTTTCTGATCTTCTACAGTTATTAGGTGAAAACTCTATATTACTTAGCAATTAAAACACAATTTATTAAAATAATATTTAATTTTAATTTAGATAATTAATAATATTTAGGAAAGCACGCCTAGAAATATATGAACTATGTAAATGAAATGAAGAAAGCATGTGTATAATTAACAGTCAAGAAATAAATGGAAATGGCAGATGTAAATATAAGTAGAGAAAGGCTCGGCATATTAAAAATAGGTTTATTAATAAAAATTTCCACGCATTAAAACGATGCAAGAACCAATTAAATGCAATTAGAAAGAAATGATGTACGGATTAATTAAAGTAGCAGCACTGATCGAAATTTCATGACTTTGCCTTCTTCAGCTGTAAACGAAAAACCAGTATCTCAAATTAACTGAGATGAAAGAGTGCTTACAGATCTTTGTATTTACTTCATAATAAAGGGAAATATAATAAAGGAAAATTTCGACCTTATAGCTAAACATTTATTTTACTAAGTGGGTCGAGGCCATGCTCTCAAGTTAAATCAAAGAATAAAGAACAAAATACACACTTTTGGATAATAATACATACTCTTGGATAATAACACACACTTAAATTTAAATCACTGTACAGGGTGCGGCAAGGAACTTCCTCATTTGAAACGCGCGCCATCTAACGACATTTATTCTGAGAAAGGTGGGGTAGCGCTCATTGAAAGGAGCGACGTCTAACGTTTTATGTCATGTAGGTTTAGTACGATCATGCAGTGGACAAGAAAAGAGCACGCGTTCGCCTTGGGGTCGTACTTTTCAACGTACACCATTTTCATCCATATAAATTGGCAGTGGTGCAAAAACTTAATCCACACAATTTTCATTCACGAAAAAATGCATGCGAAGACATTGCATGATGATGCTTTTGTATTCTTTAGCGATGAGGCTCATTTTTATCTTTCCAATTGCGTGAATAAGCAAAACATGCGATACTGGAGTGGCACGAATCCCCGAGAACTTCATGAGCAGCCTTTCCATACAGAACATGTGATTGTTTGGTGTGCATTGTATAGAATAGACATCATTGGATAATGGGTTTTTGGAGAACATTTCCCTAGACACCTTATCTCCTTACGATCTTCAGTGGCCTTACGATCTTCAGGGCGATCTTCAGTGGCCAGCGCGCTCGCCTGATTTAGCCCCGTGGGATTTCTTCTTGTGGGGCCATCTGAAATCTCTAACGTCCAAAGACTCAACTGAAGAACAATATTCAAGCTGCTATCGACAACATACCCGTAGATATGCTGGTAAAAGCGGAACGGAACTTCAAAACTTGACTATCTCAATGCATTGACTAGAACGGAGGACACCTTAACGATATTATTTTTAAACCATAATAAAAAACAAAAAAAAAACTTTAAGTGTCTCTCTGTAACTTGGGAAAAAATTAAACTGATATGGCTTATGTTATTTGTGTTATTCATTTTTAAAATAAGGTAGTTTCCCTGCCGCACCCTGTATAAAACAGGTATTATGAATAATTGGTCGTTTAGAAAAAAGGCAAAGCGCACAAAGGCTTACCTAAAAGAAGAATTATTCTTGTGAAAGATTTTCTGATTAAACCTGTTTCGTATTTACTTTCTTAACCGCATAATTATGGGGGTCAATCTTAAGCATATGCATAGCCACAATGGAATCCAATTTAAGATTTTTAAGGAAATTTCTTGGTTGATTTTAGCAGAAGCGAAACTGAACTCATAATTCGCAAATCAACAAGTTGAACACAAGTGATGTTTTATTTGTTCTTTCTCACAGTAAAAGAGGGCCCACTAGTGGATAAGCGATAAGGTCTCTGAATTCTGGCAGTTTGACATGTGTTCCATTCAAGACTAACGGGCTGAATTCATAAGCGTTTCCATGATTCTCTCTTCATATAACGGCGCTTATGCTAATTGACAGGAATTCAACGAATTCCACTTTACGGAGTCTGGGGTAAAAATTTGTCTTACCAAATGAGGGAAAACTTCAGCTCTTTACAGCGCCCTCATCTTCTCACTACCTGCAGAGACAACGTCAACGACAAAATTTCAAGACATTGTGATTACTTCTTAATACTCGGTAGCAATATAGCCAAGTTTGACAGAACATGTGATCTCTGTGACCAGACCATACGTGCACTGCACCTATGAGAAATGCAAGGCTATTATGCATTGCATCTCTACACACGAAGGCTTGAAGCAGAACGCGTGTATGGACCCTTTTAGCAGTGCAATGATATAGCGAAAGCCAGTTACACAGACAGAAAATGATACTTGACAATGGTTTTTGCTGTCTGCGGAACAGCACCATTTTATACACGAACACTCCGATTAAGCAGATTCAGACATTACACACAGATTCAGATAAGCAGATTCAAATTAAACAATTTCGTTTTCCAGTCGGAACCAACAGGCTTGCATGCTGTAGTTCGTTACGAACTCGCTGAATATGACGATTGCGCTGAATATGACATGCGCTGAATATGACGATTTATAGAACTGGAATTCTTATAAATCGTCATATTCTAACGTCTGACTTCCAGGCTATTTTGGGCATATATGCAGTAGTCCTCTTACATATGTCACTGGCGGCCTAATTTTATGAATTTCTTCTTCTAATCGGCCTGGATAAAGATTTCTCTTCTGGATTCCAGCCCATAAGAGAAAATAAAAGTGAACTCTTTAACGAATTGGCGAAGCAAACAGTAAACAACGTCCATGTAAAAGTGATATGAAGTCCCCTCCTGACATCGTATGCGAATCAGACTACTCAGAACTGAATGTTCAAAAACTGTCAGAAGAGATGGCTTGCAAATAGCAGGGGCACGAAACTATCATATTCTTTCCAAAGGTGGCAACAAAGCTATGAAGAACCTTCTCATAAATGATCTGGACACGGTTTCTTGGTTTTTTCCTGCTTACCCGCACCATTTCCAGCTCGATGATACAAATCTTTATATACGTAGTAGGAAGGGAACAGCTGACCATTACTTATTTGATTGTCCACAAGCATCAAAACACCGCCTTAAAAACCCAGATCCACAAACTTATTAAACTGGGCTATTAATACTAATAGTGAGAACATTGGATCAAATAAAATTGTCTCAGCCATACCATACTCTGCCACTGCTTACTTAGCCATTGCAGACCGGCTTGCAGCCTGCTCCAAAAAACGTCTATAATATAAGTTTCCCACTGTAATAGCAGTGCAGCGGCACGCTCTACCGTTATGCTCAGCGCTGATACGCATATTCAACTCTGTACATACTTCGATATTGATATATATGTTTTCAAATTTGTCTGTTTGCTTTTCAGTCGGCCACATATTATGATTATATGCACTTCTATATAAGCATAGGAACTAAATTTAGCAGTAGCAATTGAACTCCATATTACTTTTCTACAATTGGTTTGGTTTGTGTGATTATGGCAAAGCTTCGAGGGCTACCTTCCTAAGGGAAGGGATGCCTTCGTGGAGGACTTTCTAAGGGATACTGGCTTGTACAAACGTTACACATAGGGAATACCACGAAAACGCCCATGCAACTAGAGATTCGAATCGCAGACCGAGCTACCAGTGTTCAGAAAGCACTCGGCCGTTGGCGGGCCCTTTGCTACAACTGCCTTTCCCTAACTGGTCAAAGTGGCGCTCGTCTTCCGTAAAATTCCGTACGCTCTCTTCATTATCATGCTTCCATGCTACATGCCGTCAGTTCAAATGAAGTAAAATCACTATCATAGCCCTTATATCTTCAGATGAGGTGGCATCTACACTCCGTATAGCTGAAAATCAGAACGAGCGCTAATTCCTATCAAGCAACACGTACGTGGAAAAGGTTATGATAAAGAATTTAATAATGAAAACATCATTGCTTTATTTAATATTTGTTGCTATGGTACATTCTAAAGAGGACATCCCATACAGCTCAATTTATGTAATTTTTACTTTAAATTTTCAGAAAAAAATTTAATATTTCACGAAATTTTTTTAGTATTTATTTGTATGCCAGAAAATTCATATGATTTAAATTTAAACTTGAATAATGTTATTGAAGTGATTTATTTTCATAATAAAGTGCTTCTGTCGTATAGCTTCGTTTTCTCCTTTTCCACTGAAACATTCAGTCAAATACGAGTTTTTTTCACTTCGTTGTCATATTAAAATATACTTACTTTCATTTCTATAAGAGAAAGATAGACGGTTGAAAGGTTTTCGGAATATTTTATGGAACCACAGTGGAGTTCGTTTTCTATTTAAAAGTTTTGGGTTTACATTTCCCACTCTGATCCATCTTCTCAGTCCATAAAAATTTTTGTTTCTGAATTCTGGACCTAAATAAAATATATAGAAATATCTATATGTAAATAATTCTTATTAGATATTATATTAGAAAACTTAAAATCTATATATTTTCAGATTGGTAGGGTTCAGCGAATACAGCAGAAGCTGTGGAAAGGAAAATGAATTTGTTGCAGTGAATGAAAAGATTTCTTCTAGGCATTACATTCATGACACTATTATGATGGTTTTGAGATATTTCAAAATAAGTTTTACAGTCGAAAGGACTCCACTTAAATGCGTAGAATTGCTTGGAGTAAGGAAGTAATTTGAATTAATTCCAAGAAGAGAACTTTTTTTTTACATCTCAGATTTCAATGTTTCTCAGAGCCCAACAGACGCAGATAAGCATACCAATAAAACTTGTACTATTATTTATGCTGATACAAGGCACATAGAGTCTCGTTATGAGTACATCTCAAAAGGATTAAAAAATACAGTATACTCAAAAATCCTTCATAGTAGTAAATAGATCTACAAAGGAAATTTTTCAATAATTTCCCATTTCCCCTAATTTTTATAATAAATTTCCCATTCAAATTATTGTAAATAAATTAATGTTTTAAACTACTGTACTCAATTATACTTGGAAAATAATATTTTTAGTTACATAGGAAGAGGTATTTTTATCTGCAAGAATAGATTTCTAAATAAAATCAACCCTTGCAGATAAAAATACTTCATATTTTCAGCTTCTTCACTTAATGATAGAAAACATAATATTACAAAAAGGCTAGATGAAAAGTATACATTTCATCTAGCCATAGTTTTTATCTAACCGATCAGTAGCAGTATTCACGCTTAACATGAATAAGAATTTCGTTAGAAATCCAAAAGTTTAGATTCAACAAAGATCCTTCCTTTAATTAACATAATCTTTAATTTCTTCGCTCCCTTCAGCATTCAAATACTAGCCTCGAAATATCTAATGTATATTATGGAAAAGCTGAAAGAATTTTGTAATACGTCAAACTAAAAATGCGTTTATAGAATTTCGCAAAGTCGCTTGAAATATTTATGGTTTTAAATTGCATTCTTCTCAATGACATTGATTTTTTTTCCAAAGAAATGAAATTTTTGAAAGCAGCCATTTTAATACAAATTTTACTGGCTTTCTTAGCGATGAATATAAAATTTTAATGGTCTAAATAAATGGTTAAAAATTAACATTTTGGAAATTCATTCCAGCTCAGAAAATAATGAAAAATAAATGTGAAAATAGACTGATTTTATAAACCCCAAAATATATTTCACCAGTATTTTAATCAGCAGCACTGGTTATTATTATATAACATAGCTGATTTTGCTTTACATATTTAATAAGCCGATTGATTGAAATTTTGTGAACACAAATACTAAGTGAAATGGCAAATATCCTTTTTTTTAAATTTCATTTTGTTTTATATTATTTTTTTAATTAAAGTTTGCTTTCGAAAATAGCAATATTAATTGAGAGACATTCAGTTTTTCGGCGCAGGAAATTGAAAAGTCAGTTACTCTATCTCCGCGACCCCAATCACATATCTTCCGGCGGAAACTGGACTTCGGGAACCGCCGAAAATCCCTTAGAATTTTCGGAACTAGAAAAGTCAATTACATATTCAAACCCTATATTTCCCAACTGCTAGCTAGGCGTGCTATTGCTTACATCCCGACAGCATTCATGAAGGAATGTGATAATCACTTATAAATTAATTACATAGAAATCTAACCTTAATCTGCCTTACGTCTGAGAGTTACCGTACGTCTCTCATTTAAAGGGCGACCGGGAGACGCTTGAGACCCAGTCGACAAATGCTTAAATTAACTTCACAGTAAACTAACGATAAGTTATTTACAATAATGTAGTAATTAAAATCTTTAAAATTTTTGTAATCAAATAATCTTACAATGATCACGCTGTAAATAAAATAATAATATAAAATATTAATGTAATATAATATACTGTAAATAAATATAAAATATTATTCTCTCTCTGTATATACTTACATATATAAGTACATTATATAATTGCAAACCGTAATATAATATTATAAGGAGTTAGTTATACATAATTTCAAAACTGATAGAATTAAAGAGGGAATTAATTGTAAACGATCTCGAAAATTAAAAATGCGAAAGGTAAAATATACAAAATTGTAAAAATAAAAAATTAATCTCCTTTTATTGAAACTCCAGCTCAGAACTCATCAAGGTAAAATGAATTTAAACTTCATAAAAGTCTCTTAATATGTTTCGTTCTTCTGGTCCATTTGAGATCAAAAACCGTAAAAAGATTTCATCAAATTTTTATAAAAGACTTTAAATTCGCATAAAACCGAAACCTCGAATCTCAAATGTACCAGAATTTTCCCTACACATTTGCGAAACACTTGGAAAAAAAGCATAAACATACATAGTGCCAAAAAATATTTATGCTATTTAAGTAATGTTCCATCTCTATATCGAGCATTATATTATATCCTTCATAAACTACAGACATACAGTTTCAATGCAAAAAAAAAGAATCTTACAGAACTTCAACACCAAACAAAGCAGAAGCAATACGAATAGCAAGAAAAATATGGAACACTTTATGCACTAAATCGGACGTGCTTATTTAAGCCTAAATTTTTTTTCCTATATTTCAGTTCCTACTGCACACACAAGTTGGAAAAAAAACACTATTGCATTTTATCTATAGCAAGTAACACATTCTGCATTTTAAAATGCTGAAACACTATGCACTTTTTTTTTTTTTTTTTTTTGCTGAATAATTATTTTCAATCAAAGAATATATAACTCAAATTTTATTTCAGCACGTCTGTAATATTGTACGACTTGTGTTTCCCTTACTTGGCCAAGTTCGTTCTTAGATATTTGGATCAGTAAATTTACCCTTTTTGGCACTGATGAAGCTTTCTAACCAATGTCTAATGAAAACTGAAGCTGAAGACCATGTTAATTCGATTCATTTACAAACTTATCATTACTTCTATCATCTTTTAGTATCTATCTTTTTAGAATTTATTTGTACAGTCTCAAATATACAAAAATGGGAATTAAGCACATAATATGTCAGTTTCAAATGTAAATAAAATATAAAAATATTATCGAGTTATAGTTTAAGAATATTACTATAAGGATACGTAATATACAAATGTGTTGTAATTGAACGTGCGTCTGCGTCATATAAGTACATGTGAAAAAGATTTATGGAATATTATAAACAAGTATATTTGTAAAATGATATTTCAGTAGAAGTAAGAACAAGTAATATGTAGATAACTAAATAAACTGCCTCATTTAGTAAGCTATCTGTATGCTCGCCAGCTAATAAATAGCGTACGTTTCTGTGCATTCTAATGAAATATAACAGGTCTCATATATAGTACATATAAGTACTAGCAAAAAAAATCACAACAAAGAAAAAAATTTTTAATTTGAATATCTAAACCTAATCTGAATAACTAAACATAACTTACAAAATCTCAATGCTAACTTTTACAAAAAATCAACTAACTTTCAAAATAAAATAATACCTTCATAATGAAATTCCTAAAGAAGGGGCGATATGTAGTTCATGTGTGTTCACCAGACTGTGTGAAATCACTGATTAAAAGTATTTTTATTATATGATTAATTTATTTATAAGTATTAAAAAATCAATAGTTATGACATTCATACATAAGTTCCAGATAATCAAAAATAGTCTGCGTTCACTACCTAAAATTGTAAAAGAATTGTAACTGCTAATAACATTTAGATAAATGTCCTGTGATAGTACTCCAAACTCATTAGGCTACTCTCAATGTCGGTAGCCTCTCAGTGGTGGCTCAAACGGTATTCGATTGGAAATTTTGAAATGAATAAGTTGAACTCATAAACAAGAACTGGAGTCTAAGTTTCGCAATCGCATTAAAAATTTACTTTGTGTACTACACGCTACTTCGCACACCCTAGCGGGCTGCAAAATTCCAACAAGCCTCATATATTTACTACTGTATATATAATAACTAAAATATATCAGCTGTGCGAAGATAAGTTCAAAAATCTAATTATATCACAGTCAAATATATATTCCATATAACTATGTTTAACATTCCTTTATACTAATTTTAAAAGGCAATTGTGATTTAGACCTTTATTGTTGTTTCTCCCTTCCGTTTCCTTACTCGAATGTAAAATAGCTCCAAAGAATATAAAGTACGATTTTCGGATTGTGAGATAGAGCGTATTTCTTCCTCTCGAGGGTACGTTATTAGGCTATTTAGCTTTGCTTTACAGTCCTTGGCTTTGCTTTACAGTTAGCGACGTTTAAATTGTTACGCCGGAAAGAAGTTTCAGACAACTTTGCATTAGATCATTTTTGGAACCCATCGCTACTAGTTTGAAGTTAGACTTTATTGTTACTTTCAGTTACATCGCCAGAAACGGTTGACCAATCTGTAAACACAAGTCCTGTCTTTATGTTTCAGTTCTAACTTAATAAAAAGTTTTGTTTAAAAAAAAAACTTTGTAGTTCTCATTAGTGATACAATAATTCGCTCCAAGTCTGTTAGGATCTGGAACTTATTTTATGCTAGTAAAGAATATTAAACTTTATATACTTTAATAAGGAATTTAATATTGAAAGTATGAACCATTTTTATAATATTGTTGCGTTACATGTATCAGCGAAATAAATCATAAGAGTTATCGAATATTTCTTCTATAGTTCTACATTATTTAAATACAAGCTCTAACAATTTCATTCAAGCATCGTATTTTAGCAAAAAAAATTTTTCCACCTTTTACTTTCTTCTCTAACATTTTTGCCTTTGTGATAATATAGCTACTTTCTATCAAGCTCTACAATTTAATGCACATTCTTTGTAATTGAATATTATTTATACGTTTCCTTACTTTCATTTCTTCGATAAAATGGTAGTTTGTTATAAGGTCTTCGGAATCCTTTATACAGCCATAATGGAGTTCTTTTTCTATTTAAAGTATTTGACCTTAGGCTCCCTATTCTCAAATATCTTCTCATTCTCGGAATATCATTATTTTCAAATCGTGAACCTTCAAAAATAATGAAAAGTAATTAAAGAATAATTTTAAATTTCGCTTCGGGAAAATAAAAGTTAATGAATCATTTAGGAGAAAACATGTAAATTTCTAGGAGTTCAAAATATGCAACATTAGAAGTAGCATAAAATTTACATACAAATAATATTTTGAGATATGTATAACTTAGGGTAAGGTTGCTTTTGATTGGTCAGCTTTTTCGTTGAACCACTTCCATCTTTTCTAGTTACTGACAATAGGCGCTATCTGATAACTGCTTAATACTACATGAAACTTGAAAACCGCCATCTTGACTGGGAGTTGATCCACGCTCAAAAAAGATTGCTTCACAAGAAGGTAAGATTTTTGCACTTTTCCTTTTAATTTATCGACGTAAATAAAATATAGATATCAGTGAGACGTTAATACTGTTTTAATTGTTACTGATAACATTTATAACTCTCTTGAATTAGCGTTATTTGACTATATTAATAATGGTTGTTTACTTTCTTATAACCGAAATCACGGACGTATTACATAACAACGGCCTTCAATGAGCCAGCATGCGTTGCTATGAATGGGTTGTGGCCCAACCATGGAAACCATATCGAGGCTAATATTTTGTAACTTTTTCAAGCTAAAGAATAAAATGTCACTGTAACTGATTTAGTAAAAATCTATCAGGAGTAATTAAATTTATTATTAGATAATTATCTAATTTTCTTTGTTATAGATATAATCTATTAATCTAATTTTAATTTAAACCGAAGTATCCCTAATTCGCGTGTGAAATGAATATTATTGAAATTATCGTGAGGATTTTCATTACTTTTTTCGTAATTTATGCTGCAATTTTAAAATTATATCTGCACAATAAATAGATGAAGGAACATGCATAGCGTAGGAATTAAGTCAGAAAATTTACAAGTTCGATGGTAGTGTAGCGTAATTCTTGCTGTTGTTCTCAGCAAGAAACTTTAAGCAATGCACAAGACTTTAAAACAGTTTAGCGAATAAAGCCACATATTAAATTTATGATATACGCTTACTTACTTACCACCAGTTGAGTTTTTGTATCGCCTGTTATATGACTATCAGCATTTGTACTCAATTGGAGCATTCTATTGTCGCTAGGCTTAGCCAAAAATCTCTATAGAATATTAAAATTTGTAACGGAATTTACTACGTTACTTTGGAAGATGGGTATTTGCGACCTGTGGTTATTAAAAAGACCCTGTCAAGACTTTGCTGAATGAGGATTTTATCAATGTTTTATGGATTGTGATTCTGAGTTTACAGAGAATGTTTACTATAGAAGTCAGTTCGATATAAGAAGTTATTCTGATGCATTATACTGAACAATATCAACTGGGTATATTAATATACATCATATTTGCTGTCCACATATTTGCAGAGTTCCTGTGTGTATGATATATGCTATCATATTTTTGCGATCTGATAGTAGCTTTGTGCTTTTCTGTCGGACATCCCTGATTTTGAAGTTATCCTTCGAAAATCGGGGGGCGCCTTACATTCGTCTTTTTTTTTTTTTTTTTTTTTACTGTTCAAATATCGCTAGGAATTAAATATGGTAAATGAGAGGAAGATAATATGAGTCTTGCACTTGATTCTGTACGAAATGGTGACAAGGGCGTGAATGCGGCTGCCAAAACATTTGGTACTCCAAGGGCAACGTTGCAGAGACATTTAAAAGTAACAAACTATTTTTCATTGGACCATAAAATGTGCCCACATTAAAGTGAAATTACAATCTGGGGGTGTTTTTCGTGGTATGGATTGGGACCCTTGGTTCAAATTCATGGTAAGCTTAACGCCGACGCCTCCTACACTATGTCTGATGACAACGTGCTTCCTACATGGTAGCAGTTTTCCGAGTATTGTGAGGTCTACCATTGGTTGGTATGGTGAAAATGCGGTTAACGGAATAGACTGCTTACCCACAGCCCGGACCTGAACCCTATCGAGAAAATCTGGGATGAGTTGGATTTCCGAATGAAGGGGTGCAACAACCGATCAGCATCGATAAAGGAACTTGACTTCTCCAAGCCGAGTGGGATAAATAGTACTAATAGCCGTCATGCAAGGACTTGTGGAAAAAATGCCGCGGAGGGTTGAGAATGTAACCAACAAATAATATGAATAGATTTTGTTTTTGTTATATATTATGGGTGTCCAAATACTTATTGGTAGTTAGTGTTTAAGAGTTTGTTTTAAATTCTGGCCGATGCTGTAAATCTCCCAGCATAAATAAAATATAATTACAAGAGGTAATAGTGATGTCAAAAAATATTCAGGAAGATGAATATAGTCAAAGCATGCTTTGAAACATTTCTTACCTTCATACACGTAACGAATGGGATGACGTCGATGAACTTTTCTTATTCGTTTATTAATATTTTTTGAGGCTTTAACTCTATCGATAGACCCCATAGTAACAAGATCAGCTGCAATAATCACTGTACTTTCATGTTTAACTTTTCTATCTGCAATGTATAAAAAATATTTTTATCAAAAATTAGTTTTAAAGGCTGAACATAGATAAAACGTACAGCTAGCATTTCATCGTTTTTAAATGTTACTAATACTTTTTTTATAAAATGAATCTGCAAGCTATCTCTTAAAATTATTTAATCAAAAGAGGTTTAAAGTTTCAAATATAGTTTTTTTATTTAACTTTAAACCAAACATTTGCGGGATAGTTTCGGTGCTATCAGTAAAATAATGACTAATTTGAAATAAATTTTACTTGGAAGCTAATCAAAATATAAAGAAAATTTTTGAAGCTCCCCTTTTTTTTCTTATATATAGAATATTTAACTAAAATATCCATGACAACCTGCCCCCCAAATCAATTTAGAATTTGACATTTCATTAAAAATAACATATTTTTGGTAGAAATTCACATACTTTCACAAGTTAACAAACAATTAATCATTAACTTTTAATAATTTAACAATATTTTCGTTCAAAGAAATCTTAACACCAAATAATTGCTCATGTCTTGTTAAAAAATTCAGTATTGTTTTAGTTTTTTATATTTAGCTTGAAAATGTTTTTTTACTAATATTATAAGTACAAATGAAAGTGCTTAAATATGTTTAATGTTGAATGCGTTTAAATTAATGAATGTGTTTTAATATCAATATGAGGTATCAAGCCAAACACTTTAGAATCTAATAATTTTCACATATGTAAGCTTCCGGATTGCAAATGAATCCTAAAAGAAATAAGAAAAGTTTTTTTTTTTTTTTAAATAATGGTACATTCATGATATTTTCGGAGCAATTCTTACTTTTATTGTCAAAGCGATAAGTAAAAGAAATAATTCCATTACTCAGACTTATTACTATAACCACGCTATAAATCAGGAGCTCTTTTAATATGACAACAGAAAGACACATACTTTACCAACATGCTCTACCAACGATATGCAATAAATTTAACCCAAGTCATACGATGAGTATGTATAGTTTCAACTTTCACTGAAGGAAATAAATGAAGATTATTTAGAATTTACCTAATAACTTAATTAAATGATTTAAGGTTAATTTGAATTTCCTTCTGTTGCCTCTAATATCAAATATATGTGATAACTAGTTTTGAGTGGATTACACGTTCCTCCAGCAAACCCGGGATGCAACCACGGGCTACTAGAACCCTAAGTTCTAGGACTTCCCAGACCCATGTCTGGGACCATGTCATTATTTACATTATCATGAATGTACCATTACATGTCTGGCCAACAGGTGACTTTCCGGGGCCTCCAGAGCCACTAAGTTCGTAATTTGTATACCCTCGTGGCCGAGACTGCCTAATTACAGATCCTAACCAGTAGCTTCGCAGAGTTCTTTATGTCTACCCCGGGAAGGGGAATATATGTGATAAATTAACCTATCTTCTCTATGCAAGAGTATTGAAAGACTGATAGTTTATTTTATAATAATTTTGGAATCATGAAAGCATTTTCCATACAGAACATATTTTTACTTCGCGCTTTATTCTTTTCTCCCCACTAATGTGCTTTTGAAACTAAGCTAAAACTGCTAATACTTGAGCTTCAAGTTTTACATTACTATGAAACCCTGTACTTCAATTTTCTGAAAGTAAAGTACTTTCTTCAATGTAGTGCAAAGCAACAGAATTAAATATTTATGTTTACAAATAACTACATCAATTTTAAAACCGAAATACTTATTTGTTTACTTGTGATATATCTTTCATTTCTTAAACATTTAAAACGAAATAAATATTTAGACGCCGCTTTTCAGAAATCTAGCTGCCTGTTTTAAACATCTCTGACTTCTAATATGCTGATTTTAGTGACGTAAAGTGTAACCATCCTTAGCATAGAATTGATTAGAAAATTATTCTAAGGGGGACTCTTTTAGAATTCGTGTAAAATATCAAAGCCTAAAATATTTCTAAAAGCAGTTTACAACGCAAATATTTATAAATAGATGTAACGCGTTTTTGGAGATGGAATATTATCAATCTACAGCGCGAATCTTTAAATGATCAGATATATAAAAGTTTAATTTTTGATCCCTTTGTGAAATCATTTAGAAGAGCATTGGGTGGCGAATGGACGACGAGACTCACAGAGCAAGGTTTGTCACCGAGTTTATTATAATTCAAGATTTTCCTAAGAATGGACTGGCTTGTTCATTATCATCAAGACTTAAACCTGACTGAGTATATTAAAAATGCTTTAATCCAAGATCTAAGATATCTAGACTCAGTTTAGAATGCTCCAGAAAATTACAAATGCGTTTAAAAGCACTGAAATTGCCTTCAAATAAATCTTCCCAAATTCTTATCAATAGCACGAATAGCCATTGATAGTCGCATAGTTTGCTAAAAAAAAATGACATTACTTAATAAATTCTTCTGGCCTGAGATTTTTATATTTTTATACAAAGGGTTATTTAATATTCATTTTCTGCTCTCGTTCTCAAATATTTTGTTAAGTTCAAATTAGTATTATATTAATTACTGTGTTCCATGAGTTATGCAAATTCAAAATTTTGTGTAAATTTCAAGCATTATATGGAAACAAATGTGAGTACGAAATTTGGTACTGAAAGTAAATAATCTTAAATATTTTTCCAGAAATTGTACTGCAGAAATATGCTTTATCATTTTACCATTTTTGTTTTTTAATTAGTATTAAATTAATTTTAAAAATAAATATTTTTCTCCAAAATATGAGCATATTCATAACTTTTAGGTTGGTTCGGTTTATTTAATTATGTATTCGAAGGTTATCTGCCTGAGGGATGCCTTAGTGGAGGATTTTCTAAGGGAAACTAGCTCGTATAGAGTTACGCATGAAGGAATTCATGAAAATGCCCATACAGCCAGCCCATTCGCAGGATTCAAAACTCGCACCGAAATACCAGCGTTCATCGATTGTAACCCTCGGCCGTTGGTGGGCCTATAACTTTCAGGAAATTGCCAGCTAAGTCATTTCAAAATTATTTTTTGAATTAAATACGTAAGGATTATTATAAAATATTTATTTCATAAGATCTTTATAATTCGCTAAATAAAAGATGTACTTCGAAGAATAAGAGATGCACGTTTGTGAAAACATTTACTAGTAAACGTTTAAATATTTCAAAGCAGAAAAATTAACTCTGTTTAAAAAAATAAATGATGCGGATTTACTCCAAAAAAAAAAAAACTTTTTCTGCGATGATTCTTTAAACAATATATAGTAATAATTTACCTATTATATCTTCTAAGCCGCCTCTAACATTTGCTAAAGGGTTCTGAAAGCTTAATTTCACAAAAACAGTTTCATTTTCCAAGTGCTGACTCCCGTTGGGTTCATGTCTAAAATGAGGTAGTAATGCCGTTGCATGAACTTTTAAAATATTCTTCTCCAGTTGTATTCTAAGACCTTTAAATCAAAAAATAATTAATAAGCATGTTAAATTTACCTTTATTGGAAAAATTAATTTGAAATATGAATATGAGAAATTAGCTTCCATTCATTTCCCTTAACCAATAATTTCTATGTAAATAAATGAGAATGCTCTAGCTAGTGACAGTAGAATAAGGTAAAACTGGGGAAAAACTCCCAGAGAATTCTATCTTAAATGTTTCTTCCGGTCATATTAAAAAAAAAAATAATTGTGTTGTAATAAATAGGACAAATTTACTTTTATTTTTGATCAACAGAATAAAATAGTTACGATTCTTAATTATAATATCCTTGCTTACATTCAATTATCTACTAATAAGTCGGAATTTAAATATGGAATGGGGCATATTTCATTGTTACATAAAACTTCTGGGATTATAAATTGTAAATGACCTATATAAACCTCTTGTGTTTGATTCAAAATTGTTTTCATAAAACTTATTTTGTTTTTTTTAACTAGCCGAATTCTTTTGGTTATGAAATAGTGTGCATTATTTCATTTGTTGCCATTATTTCATCTCAAACTAGAAATTAATTTATATCTTTACACAAAGACAAATAAATTTGACGAAAAGATGAAAGAATTTCCCATCTCTTTGTGTATTTATTATATATTTGTGTAGGAATAATTAATGCAGCATTACAGTTTCAATCTGTACTATAAATATGTGATAAAATATGCTGTATATCACATGTGTTTCCCATCCACATAATAATGTGGCTATTTGTGGTGCATGAAGATACTGTTGAACTCTGCTAAGCACCCTGAAAGACTATCACTTGACCTGTGATTTGAATCATAAGGGTAATTAGTTGAAATTCTGTGATAGCTGGTTTCCGTCACGTAGACTGGTTTGCTGTAGTTTAACTTGCACTAAGTAGAACGGCATCAGAATATTGATCATATAATCCCATGGTGTCAACGAGCTGCTTCAAATAGGATTCGTATAGGATAAAGCCTAAGTCGCGACAGTAATACAGTTAATTATAATCCATCTTTTGGCATATATTACGAACTCGCATAGTAACCAGAATGCTATAAAACCTGTAATATGTCCTAAAAGTAATTTCACATTGTGTTTATTATAGTTAAAGCATGTAACTATACTGTAGTTAGATCTTCATATCGCCATGTATCAAGCCACTTTATAAGCATTCTTTATACTTTTAAGTTGTTTTGGAACAGCCATTTTAAGGACCAAATCTTTCGTACATAAATTTAATTGTGATCAGTAGTCATTCAAATTTCCTGATAACTTTGAGTTCTTTAACATTTAAAAAGGTATCCAATGATCAGTGTTACAGAATCTGAGGGATAATGTGTGACATCATCGTGATAAAAAAGTATTTTAATTTTTTTTAAGTACAGTTTCACTGCAGATATATTTATGCTGAGAGTTTTATGATGTCTTACACTCTTAACAAAACTTTTTATCAGATGTAAAATTAAACAGTAGCCGCAATTTAAAAATTCTACAGAAGTTATTTTTATGCAAAACCATTTTAAGAAACCTAATGAACGTGTCAAGAACAAATATTTTTCAAAGTTTATTTTGCAATTCCGTTACAAAATACTTCACATGGAAGATCTTCTGGAATGTCTTATTTCCGCCTGGTATTAAAATTTTGGTAGAGCTTTTGTGCGATTTATTACCAAACATTCAGCTTGGTAGAATAAACTAAACCTGAATTTCCTGATATACAAATCATTAACGTGAAAGTTTAATGTAGTGGCTGAGTAAAAGCGTATATGGACGATTTTAGAAGACATGATGAATAACTACTGAACAACTTTTCAAATAACTTTTTGTCAGCAGGATGTTGATCATTTAAGCACAATTCCATGTTAACAATGGTAAGTCTCAAAGAGATCTATGGTATGCAAAGATGAAATCACAGTTCTAGAATATACTGTCATTGGCAGCCTTCATCTACTGAATCTTTCTCAAAATGTCAACTTACACGCGTCAGACTTAAATGTTGAATTGTGATCAATAACATCCATGGAACGAATTAAATCAATAGATTTCTTGAACTTAGACAGTTATTTAAATAGATAGATAATTATTGAAAACATGGTGTACACCTAATATGCACAAAGAGTAAACAGGTATCGTCTCTCGATACTATCTCTCTAAGGCAAAATACTAATTCATGGGTCACTTTCTATTGTAGTATATACTATTGAATCCTTACCATTCATTGTGTTTATACAATTTCGAATGCACTTTGGAAAGTGGAATTTGTTAATACGTGGAAAGAATTCTTCATTTGATCTCCTTTTTTATCTTGTGCAAATTTTCTCCATTACAGAGATATTTGCAATTATTATTATATTTATTTTTCATTTTACTAAGTTTCCATTATAAAACTAAGTATTGAATTAAATAGGCTTTAAGAAATGCATTGCTGTTTTGAAGAGAGAAGAGCAGTTTAGATAATGTCTACGGGTGACGCAGTTCAGTACCGTAAGACTAGAGGAAAACTCATTATTTTAATTAATTTGCACTTCATCTGCTAAGTTTTTACAAGATACGTTTAATGAGTTTCATTCAGTATTTAGCTGAACACAATTTGGCTTTCAGGGGAACTTCCGATACATCATTTAAGCCACACAAGTTTTCTGGAAACTTTAAGGTCTTGTTAAACTACTTAAAAGTTTTTATTTAACAGTTCGTGAACATTTACATTGGGTTCTAACAACACACATTTACCTCGTCGAACATTTACGTTGTTCATTTACGTTGTGTCTAAAGACAATTACGTTCACTAATATGGTAAAAATGTTCAGATTGAAATAACGAATGTGTTGGAAAATTCTATTCAAGAAAATATGCTGTTGCATGGGTATGGGTTCGTATTAGATCGAAGGCACATAGAACTGATGAAAAATTGATAAAATTTAATTTACCACAAGGAACCCTTCTTACTTCTAGAATTTTTCACAAAAGTATTCCTTCCGTTATTCAGAGTATAATAGAGTACAATCAGTAGTTATACTTCAAACTACTAAGAACGTTAAACACAACGCAAAGCGCTTCCGAAGAAGCGAAGCTAACACGGAGATATCTCTATACTCTTAACCACGTTGAATTAACAACTAGAACTGAGAAACTGATAATCTCTCCGGTTTTATATAGTTTTCACCCAGCCACCGAGATATTTTAAGTACTTCTCGAAATTACTGCAAGGTAGATGAGGGTCGGATACGGTTACAGCTAATATAGGAATGAATTACATTTATTCAATTACAATATCCATTACAGTTAGTTACAGATGGATCGGACCAAAATGTCGCCAAATTATCACCAAGCTTGGAAACCTTCGGCGATTTTTTGAAACATCTGGCGACAAAACCGTTGCTATCTTGGCGATATTTCGCCAAATTAGTCAGATAGCCATTTACTCTATGTTAAATATGCTTGGTAAATTGTATCCTTATTTTTCGGCAGAGCATGTTTCTTTCAAGCTTTTCATGTTACAATATACAGAAAAACACAACAATTGAAGTTAAAAAAAGAATATAAAAAATTAATAAATTAATGGCAAATAGTGAAATAATAAATAACAATACCACTGTTCACTTTTTATCTGGTCTCCGAATTGAATTAGTATGATTCACTCAAGTGCGTAGCCGGACCTTAACTCAAATTAAGCTTGGTTTGGATGACGTGAAAAAGTTTCTTAAATTTAATTTCGAGTTCCAGCTAAATCACAGAGTAGCTGAATTTAAGTTTTCAGGGTTATCGTAATAATTTCAGAAATGACGTACTTTTTTCTCTGTGTTATTATTAGCAGTTAAAAATTATAAATAATTTTGTCAACTGTGTAATTTAGCAGTCACTAGATGGCAGCACCACTCCCATAAGAAATTTTTATTTTCAGATGAGACTTAAATCAGGTATATCTTTGCACCTTAAGGTACATGACAGCCAACCTGTTTTTATGACTTTCTGCTTCAATATTTCAGTTTTAGTTACAATATTTCAACATTTTACAGTAATATTTTGATCTTAAATGGAACTTACCTTCACTTGTATTTCTGTTGCAAAACTCAAAATCCAATATTTCACCTTTCCTTCGATTTTTATGCGAGTTTTTGACTAACTTTAAAAATCTTGGCTTCTTCACAAGCATTTTCGAATTGGCATTTTTTTTATGCTCCGAATGCGGACCTGCAGAGAGTGTTAGATACTAGTTTAAAACCTAAAATAATAGCACTTTTTTTTTTTTTTTTTTTTTTTTTTTTACCGTTAGTGAGACAACTTTACTCAAATTTCATTTTAAGAGTGTTAAATCATATACTTAGGTCGCAAAACACCACTCATTGTCGTCATGAATAGAGAAGTTTCGCCGGGAATTTCAATTTACTCAAAAAATGTCCCATCAAATTTATAAATAATTTTTGAGAATCATATAAATAAAATATTTTAGCATTCTTTAACATGAGCTAGATCAATAAGTATCTGTATTTATAAATGTTTAATTTGCAGGAAATGTCTGTCCTATCAATTTTATATATTTAAGAAACTTCTTTTTAAAATGCATATATATTTGCCCTTTTTGTAAGTTCTACGAATCGCGGAACGGATATTTTATTTAAATATTGCTTCCAATCTATTTATTATAATGTACAAGAACAGAGAACTATATTTAGTCCATGTACTCATGTTGAAGTAAAGCTATCAAAAATGGAATTTTGTTTCTCTTTAAATGTTATTGATGAAATTCTTTAAAAATAAATTCCGGATTCTATTTATTTACACATTTGGAATCCAAAATCGGAAATTCTAAGATTGTGAAGTATTATTGCATTTAGTATGACATAATGCAAATAAGAAACCGAAAGTTATTTTAACTTCAAATTATGTATTTGTATTTGCATTTCATATCCTATAACATGATTGGACTAGACTGATCATTCCTTTATGATCTTGAAATGTTGGATAAGAGTTTATTAATGGAGAAGTGCAAAGATTGATAACATGCTTTTTAACAGAAATGACAATAGAATGCATACTAAAGCAAGTGAACAATCGCGTGGGTAATCATAGAATTTTACAGCTTATAAGATATTGTTTCCGGAGTGACGAAATACCAACTTATGTTAGCTCATGTTGAAATCAAGAAAATTCGAATTTCCTTCTATGTGTTTTTTTTTAAAAAAAAGTGCTTCTCAATGATTATAGAATGATATCATCGACAGCTTCGACTTACGCAAAGGATATAGAAGTTAAATCGCAAATGTTAAACTTGCTGCATTTTTAGTTACCTAATAAAAGTGCGTTTTGCTTTGATTGATATGTTTCGCCTGTAAGAGCTACATTATTAGTGACTTTAATAAATTTACACGAAAGCTTTCAAAAGCCAATCTAATAATATCCATCACAAGCGAACATCATGCGACTTAATGGGGATGTGCAATTCTGTAATGAAGTCTCTGGTGCCCAGTTCACAGCAGTATGCAGTATTTTTTAAACATCACTCCCGCTATTACTTCATTGCCTTCCTTGCCAAACCACAGCGTGAAGCGGATTCTAGTATATTGGAGAGCGTAGGATTACACTTATCTAACTATTCAATATGACGGCAAAGTACTTGTGTCTCCGTCTTCCGCTAGCTCCTCGTTCAATGAATTACCGCAGCTCTGTCTCCTGAATATTTCCGTTGCCAAAAGTGTGGGGTATTCCCAGCACTTCTACAACAATCCAGAAAGATGCAGTAAATGTGAGCAAGCTCACTGAAGTGTACTTTATTTGCCCCTGGAAACCATCATGTATTTTTTGCAACGTAAAACATGTAAGCAGCTAACGCGGCTTAAAGCATATGAATAAAAATTTGAAAAAGAATAAATCCCCGAGCAAACCAGCAGTTCCTGTATTAAACATAGAAGACTTTCCAGCGCTGAAATAGTCTAACGAAACTCCTAAGCAAATTCAGCAAAAACTGCTGAATACTCAAAATGTTAAGACTAAAATAAAGCCACATAGTGAAGAATTAAGTGAAGCTTTAATGTGGCTGCAAGATGAAAAGATCGAGAGATTTTTAGGAAACACTGTTTTACCCATCCGTAAAATTAAAGAAGCAAAAACTCCAGCAGATAAACTAAAAGCTGATTTTCGAGCAGTTCATATGTTGATACAATTCACTGAAAGCGAGCAGTATACTCTTCGAAAACGAAGGATTTCACTATTTTGCACTTTTAAAGAAGAAAATGTAGCCGGGTGAAACAGCGCGTAGAAGTAGCGTTTTGGTACACTGATCCTCCATCTCGGCACGAACATTTTTCAACATTTTCACGTCTTTGAAGCCTGACTTTGCAATTTTAGACTATATTTCTTGCCTCATCAGTAGTTTGTACAAAACCAAAAGATGATCTCAGATCCCACCAGTTCTACGTCCTTTGCGTAGCTGTTTCATTGCATGTTAGATGAAATGAGCAACAACACCCTATACCACCACAAAGCGCCATTTCCGCACATACATTCTTTTATAAAATCTGCTTATTTAGGTTTACCTGCCTTCAAAATTTCTGCCTGATAATAATGAATCATCCTATCATTGTCCATCTGGCTTCCAGAGGAACTTGTCCACCACGCATGACTGTTTGATTCAAAAACCCCAGAGCTTTTGCAGTTGCAGAACTAGCACAACGGTTTCATGCATCACTTAAAAGGCTGAAATGAAAAGTCACAGATCTTGCTGTTTTACTTATAATAACAACCTAGTAATTGTTTTCGAACGTTTGGAAAATATGCTTTATTTATGGCTTGCATCAATTATGAATATTTAACTGATACACGATCTTTGTTTTGCACGTTATTTCAAACAAGTTATCTTTTTTTTTTTACTAGTTAAAAAATAAAACAAAAGTCACATAAAGGAATGTGACTGCGAACACATTTTAAGTAAATTCTTACCTTTATTTCCGTAAGATATTCGTGATCTTGCAATAGTCCGGGATGCAATTTTGGCACCATTTAAAGGCTTCGATTCCAAAGCTTTTACACTCTGATAAATATCCTTTTCTTTCCGCAAAAGAGAAGCTATATTATGCATAAAAAACACAGCTTTAAGCAGATTATTATCTATATATTCCAGAATACCTATAAATGGTTTTCAGTTTCAGAGCATTTAGAAGTAAATCAGCGTTTTTTCAAATTATCATATAAAGCAAAACTGACCATAAAGCTAAAATTTACACGTAAGGAAAAAACGAAGAAAATTTTTAAACCTCGTCTAATGTAGAAAGTTTTAAAATATTTACAACCTGCATTATTTAGTAGATTTTTTTTTTAATTTTAAGTACAAGTTTCAAAATATTTATTTTATGTTGAACAAATAGTAATACTAATGCAAAGGAAGCCCGTTCGCGAACTAAAACATACCGTAACTTTGTTTTCAATGTATCACTTTTGAGTTAAAACAATTTCTAACATCTTTCTGCTCAGTGTGCTCTTCAAAACTGCATAATGCTGAATGATTGATCAGTTTACTGTGATAGAATATTGCAGTGTCAAGATGGGAGTCCCAGCCTGAATCTAAAAAGCGCATGTATATTTCAGCCGTGATGTTTCGGAACAGACATGATGGTGATTACTTTGATATTTAATGTGTTTAAAAATGCAGCATTTGAGCAGTCTATCTTGTCTTACATACTGTGAACGATACATAAAAATTCTTGAGGAATCTGAACTTACGTAAAGAGATGTTAATAATCCTTTGAAAGACTATCATTTTTATCATCTTATAAGGCATTTTCTCCCTCCTTCCAGCATGCCTTCGTGGTGTAACGGTTGCACACTCGGTGCGTATTCGAGAGATTCAGGTTCGAGTCCGGTTGTGCCCATTGCACATTTTTCATTTCTCCTGCTTCAAAATAACATAATGACTCTATAATAGCCTCCGAACTAAAAGGTGATGGTCAATAATCCGTCACCACCAGGATTTGAAGATTGAGTTCCCTAATATCAGTCGCCCTTTAAAAGGAGGAGTATACTAAGGTTGTTCGTACATTGTTTAGACGATTTTTCATTGTATTTACAGAAATATTTTACCTAAAATGGTTGTGTTTTAAATATTCCATTTGATAGCTTATATTCTTCACTACATTTGTAGATTGTAATTTCCAAGACAATAAAGCATTTTTTTAGTATCTGAAGAAGTATTTTATCAAATTCCTCTTGAACAGCTTTCCAAAGTTCAAGGAGGATTATAGGTCGACATCTAGACAATTCTCTTTTTAAAAGTCCAAAAGAGCAAAAATACGAGTCAATTCAACCAGTAAAAGCAAACGAGGGCTGTATACCTAAGGGATGATACCATCGTTTAAACCTTTCTAAGGAAACTTGATCGTATTTATATTGCACAAGCCAAGAAAACACTCGTGCAAACAACTTATTTGCTGTGTTTATACTGAGTCTAACTACTAGTATCCAGCAGTCTTATCCGGTAGGCAGCTAATAAGCCGATTTTGTTTGAATATGGCAAGGGAGACGAAGGCTATCCCTTAAGAAAAGACATATGTCCGTGAACGATTCTAAGGGAAATTGACCCGTTCTTACATTATATATGGAGTTCGTATGACTCCAAGATATTCTTTACTAATACAAAATTCTGCAAATTTCCTTGTCTGAAAAACGTATTTTATTTTTTGCCAAGAATTTGCTGATTTAATTAAATACCTAAAAATAAGCAAACATTTAAGAAATTTCATCACGGTGAATTTATTGTAATGTATTGCAAAAACGTAAATAGCATAGAAATGTATAAAACTACTAGAGGGTTTGTAAAAGAAACATATTATATAAAATATTTTGTTCCAGTTTAATTTATATAAATATGACAAAACACACGAAGGCTACGTCGGGAATACCTTCGTGGAGAAATTTCTCAGGAAACCTGTCTCGTATTCACTTCATGTATGGGGAAAACCACGAAGACTAACTATCAAGTCAGCTCAAGATGTCTGGGATCGAATCCTGATCAAACTACGAATATTCTGCTGCCTCTTATACTCAGCAAATGAAAGGGCTGTTCAGTTCCAATTAATATTTACTGTTCGGAATTTTGTTTTAGAATCTCAAAATTATGATTACATTTGGCTATCGTTGTCTTTGTTATGTTGGCACATTATAAAACAGCATTATTCTTAGATAATCGCAAGCTTTCGATTATATGACATCCATATATCATAAAGCACCATTTCATAATACTGTTCAGGCTAACAGGTTTTGGAGAAAATAGTTACAAGTTGCTTCTACTATGAACGTCCAAATTTGACCTTTGAATTTTTTGTTATGCGGCTAACTGAAATCGCAGTTATGCAGAGAACCCTAAGTGTTGCTAGCAACTCTACAAGCCATAAAAAGACATGTGACTACTGAAACAAGCTTTCTTTCTTTTGAGCAAGAACTAGATAACTAATATTTGAGCACTACACATTATATGGGTTAATTCGCTACTGTGTGCACAAACTTGTGGGACAGATAGGTTACTCTAAAACGAATCGAGAATAAATAAGAATGCAATCATAAAGCAGTAGAGGAGACCACTGAAACGTCCGCGAAAGAAAGCCCTCATTCGGCATCTGCTTATAGATATATTAGTGTAGAAAATATTATAAATACGGTGGTTAGCAGACATGCATGTAACATATAGAGCAGACATGCATGTAACATATAGAGCAGACATGCATGTAACATATAGAGCACGGGTGAACCATTGTGCTCCTGTTCTGGAAGCGCCACTCAATGGCGCCTATTCTAAACCACCAGAGCTTTCTTAATACAGCTGCATCAAAGATTATGTGAAATGCGATCCTTCGAAAAAAGGGCCATGAATTGAGGATGAACGACATGAATCCTGAAATCAAATAGATGGTTCTTCGTAATGCGGAGAACAGTCTGCGTGCCAGTAAACGAGCAATCGCTACTCGCTTCAGACGTACCCAAATCTCCGTATGGAAGATCTGAAACTTTAACCAGTTACTAGCATATGCAGCTAGTTCAACCTCATGATTGTCCGCAAAGGTTTGCTTTTTCTCATGGTATCTGCAGAAAGGTGTGGCGGCTTTTTTATTCATAGACGAGGCATATTTCACCAGTGAAGGTTGCTATAAAGCCCATAACTCTCATATATAAGCAATGCTGAATCTCCGTCTTATGTAAACATTTGCAGCACAATACCCTTTTGCAGCCAGATTTTGGTCTAGTTTTGTGGAAGACCATTTAATAGACCCATATCTACTGCCTATTCATTAGGACGAACGGTCCTGTAAGATATTTTGAAGGAAATCTTTCCAAAACTGTTGAATGACAAACAAATACAATAGCCTTTGCGTCATGATATGTGGTTCTAGCATGAAAAAAACTAGGTCATTTTATACAGGACGTTTAGAAGCACTTACATGTGATATTTAGAGAACAGTGGATCGGGTGTAATGGTCCCCTTCATTAGTTTACAATTTCGCTTGACATATCCCATCTGAGTTATTCTTCTGGAGTCTTGTGAACGATATATCAGCGAAAAGTATGGAATATATTGTCGCATAGCTGCCGCGGCCATGCGACAGACTCACGAAATATTTCAAAACATTCGTGATTCCATGAGTTGTCAATGGCAGGCTTGTGTAACAGTCACTAAATATCGCAATTGTTGCATTTGATGAACAAAATAATGATCTTCCCCTATGTGTTTCTAGGTCATTTCACATATTTTCTGCGTACTGGCATATATCGGGAATGTTTCCGACCCTGAATTGCAAACTATTCCCGATTCTTCTTTGTCTAACATACCCCTTCCAGAAAGTTTCGTACACGTGGTAGCTAATCACCTCGTAGATTGTATAATGTGCTATAGGTATTAATAAAGAAAATTTCAAGCTTTTCTAAATAATATGTTAAGAAGGAAATATTTAAACGTCTTTTATTTAAAATGTAATCCAAATATTTCAAGTATTCTTAAAAATATATTATCTTGCGATGTTAATAGCAATCAAGATCGCCTATTTCCACTTAATCTCCCACGTTTTATTTATTAAATTTTTTTTTTTGCAATGGAATCATAATTCATTCCTACCTCCACCAAACATCTGTTACATAGGAAGACACCCCCTTTATACCACGCATCTTAGAAAATTCTCCAGCTTTATTCCTATTAGAATTCCTTTTAAATCAGCATCCTTTCTACTATAACAAACAATAGGTTTATATTGGAGAATTTCCTCTTTCTCTTGGGGAAGAACAGCAGTATCCACCGCGAAAGCCGGTGAAAGTGATTAAGAAAAATGCCGTTAAGGGCCCCCTTGGTGGATTTTCGTTGAAGCAATTGGTAAATGTAAAAAAGGAACTTTTGTTATGACAGATGCCGAGACAGTTTGTATGAGAGATGCCGAGACGGACGCGCCCCGCGTCGGGGATGCTGCTGCCTTTTCCCTTCTTTAATAATGCAGTCATGTTTTTTTAATTAACCAAGGAAACCTCCTATGCTAAGGTTTTGAATTAATTTTTAAAAAAATATACCGGTCTTAGATTTTCCTTCACGGAAACTCGGCGACGTTATACCTTAGATACAAATATTGAAATAATGTTATTCTCCAAATTTTCATCAGCTTCTAAAATTCTAACAATTTTATTAAGAATTCTTACAGCTTCGTACTCTATTTGAATATTTATTTTATATAGTATCTAATTTACTAAAATTTACTATCTAAATATCAGTGATTTATCACCCGAACTACAAGCAATCGTATGCGAGCCTAATGTCCTAGAGTTGAACTGCATATATGTGACATAGGTGCGAAAAACACCGATGCCTAATAATAGAGCTAAAAAGACAAAAACAAAGTGAGTTGGCAGAAGTGAATGCAAGAGCAGACTGGTAGACTGCTAGCTCAACGAGAGCGTAAAATCCTCGACCTTTAAAATTTGAAACCTTTTTAAAGGTATAGTATTGAAAGATGCTTACTTTCAATACTATACAGCAAAAGGTGATGGTATCGAAGTTTGGAGCTATTTCTTGCGAGATCGGCGATCGCTGTTCCCCTTAAAAAATGTTTGGACTCAGCATGATTCGTTTTTGCTAACGTGGGAAATAACATAATTAATTTTTTTACGTAAATGTACATAAAATGTTGCTGCGTAAATAATACATGTTGCTGCAGCTTGATTCCCCCCCCAAAGTAGTCTTTAACAATGCAAATAGTACCACCATTCTTCTTTTTTTTTTCACCATCAGCCTTCATTCTCTTTGTAGATGTTAAACTGCTTCAAAGTAAATTTTGAAGTGTTTTGAGAATCTAACAAAGAACAAAATATGCTTAGTCGTATTCTTTCACCTCCAAAGTTTGTGCATCATTCTCCACTAAATTTTGTCAACCATTTACTTCGAGCTTCAATCAAATCATATTGATTGGAAATCTTTGCTTATATTTCCTTCAGATTATAATAATCTTTGAATCATTGGTACTCATTCATTTTTCTAGACATTTTAATAGATGTTGCACAAACATCATTTGCATTGCTTAAATCGAACAGCATTGCTTAATTCTCATAATATTCTAATATTCAAAATTTAAGTTCATTTCTCTATGGCATCTGAAATTTTTCTGCCCGGACATTAATAAATTATAAAATAATAATTGACATCTGTTTTTCATGCTTTACTTAGTAAGCTTTTTAATAATCATTGTCATATACAAATATTTTGAAATGAAATAAAACTTAAATAAAGGACTCTAAGGTAAATAGTTTCACTGTAGTGTTATTTATCATTATACTTGCTTTTAACAGTGTTGCATTGTCGTGTGCGTACGGGTTCGCAATAGATTGAATGCACAGACGACCGATGATCGGTTGATAAAATTTATTTCATCAAAAGAAACACATCAGATTTCTGGACCTTTCCACAGAAATAATCGTACAGGTGTTCACAGTATCAGAGAGTACAATCAGCAGTTACACTTCAAACTACAGTCAACGTTAGACGCAATGCAATGAAATGCGCATCTAAAAGACAAAGCTTTCAATACTTCGAAGTATCTCGGAACTAACAACTCACAACAACTACTCGCAGATGATCTCTCCGGCCTGATATAGTTTTCAGGCGGCCGCTGAGATATTTCTTGTACTTTCTGCTTCTCAAAATTTTGAAAGGCTTAATCGTTTAATTAGCTTTTGTATTGTATTGTATAGTAGTATTGTATGGTATCTTAGATTAGTTATCTTTTATGCAGGTAACTGCATCAATTTTTGCTGCATTAGAATCACTGGTGTCATGACAATTTAAATGTATTTTGTGTCACCAACACTGAATGTATTTTTATTTTTCATCACTAGTGTCCATGACAATTTTAAATGTGAATTTTTGGGTTATGGTAAAGGACACTGATGTATTTTGTTTTTTTCATTGTTTGTATGTGTAGTATGTATTGTATGTATTGTATATCCTGATTCTTTAGTCTTTCCTAATGTTTTTTTTGTATTGTATTATGTAATAGTGATAGTATTGTATGGTATCCTATATTCGTTACTTTTATGCAGGCGTAAAATGCCTTTATTCCTCAAATTCGTATAATTAGCCTATTGCATGTTTTTCCCACAATACCACGTGATCAATTGTATTGTACCGCTATGCACTGTTACTAAGTTGTCCCTCTTACCTCATTGGAGTAACCAAGTATGACCTTTGTATAGCTTAAACACGTTGCATGCTAAATATATTTTGTATAACATATTCCTTTTCCTAACTATTGTTGTACTATAGGGATTGAATTTACGAGATCAAATTATATTGTAAGCTCTACTTCTTCTGTATCACATCATACCTGCGGTATTGTAATGACTTTGTCATAGCGAATATCTAGTTTAAAACACTGACTTTCAATATGTGTTTGTCAAATATTGTACTTGCTATGCATGTAGTCCCATCCAGTTGTTAGTCTTCTGAATGGAGAATTCATGCTTTACGCATTCCCTGTATCAGTACTTCCAGTCACACACTGATGGCTATTTTATTCTTTTATTTTTATTTCTTTTGGTATTCCTCTGTGTATTGCTGTAATCATTTACATTCATTATGTCACTATTTCATTATGTCACATTTACATCATTATTCTCTATTTTATGTAATTGTCATTAAGTAATTTCTATATCATATTTTACTCTTGTATATTATTGGGTTCAACATCAGACTGGTACTTGCTATGTATTTCTATATTTGTGTGTATACACCTTTGTAAAATTTTTGCTTATTGTCAAAACTCGCCCTTGTTTGGCCCTGTATGCTCTTGTTATTTTATTTAATAAATGTGGGGGCCTGGGCGGTTGTTGGGCTGTCTTTCGTGGGCATTTGGTCTGTTGAACTGCCCCCGGGTTGAATTTGGCTCTGGGTTTGGGCGCCCGTGCGGGGTGTCTTGTGATTCCTCTTTAGGCTCTAGATATAGGTGGACGTGGTGCTATACCGATTAACCTTTTGGTAAAGGGACAGTGCCCACGTCCTCCGTTGCTTATCGCTTATGGTTAGAGCTATATATATGAAGTCAATTACAGTTATTCAATTACAATACCTGTTACGGTGATACAGAGACCGGGCCAAAATGTCGCAAAATAATCGCTAAGTTTGGCGATTTCGCGCCAAATTTAGCCGCAGGAATGAGTTGCTAAAACCGTCGCCAGCTTGGCGATATCTCGCAACATAAGCGAGATAGCCATTTATTCAATGTTAAGCAGACTTGCCGCTATATTCTTATTTTTCCGGTACAGCAGCCTTTCACTGGATTTTCAAGTTATATTATACAGAAAAATACAGTTTCACATATAATTGCTCTAACATCATCAATCTGATATACAGAATTCATAACAGTATGAATGCACTTGTTAAACGTGACCTAGAAAGACCTGACATGGCCTTTTACTGTATAACTAAAGCATTTTGCTACATAAATCCTTTAAGACTGGTTCTACTTTACTTATACGTAACTTTCATCATAATTATAACTCAATATTTTATGATTAAATTAATATAATTAAAAATTTTTTAAAAATTGATAACCTAAAATATTGTATTCAGGGTTCTCTCAATGGA